ATCATTATTTTTGGTTTAATAATTATATTTATTAATATTATTATAATTAATTATTATCATTGTTACTACTCCTTCTGTCCTAAAACGTTATTCTCTTCCTTTTTTTTATCACGTCCTAAAACTACCTTCTCACTTCTAAAACAAGAATGTATAATGACAATAATACCCTCCACATTGACACCTCAATCCTCAACTATCTCGCTTCACATAATCACCATCTTCTCAAAATACAGATCTAATCTTTGGGTCCCAACTAACCAAGCTGCCCTACCATGCATAATCGCCCAGGCCAAGAAATAAGCTACAGGAGGGAGAATAGCTCGAGCGGTGAAGCCAGCTTTATCCAGATCGAGTCAGCTGTTTACATTATTATTATTATTATTATTATTATTATTATTATTAACGAAAATATTTATTGTTGTTGTTATTATTTTAATTATTATAATTATTTTAATATTGTTTATTTTTTAGATGATTTGTTGATCTAAATGGATCTAATCTGATCTCAATGAATCTAATCTGAACTCATTTGAATGAATCTGATTTGATTAAAACTGATCTGGATGAATTTTATCTCATGTAAACTAATCTGAATAAATCTCATACGATTTGAAGTGATCTAAATGAATCTAATATGATCTAAAAATATAATTTTTATAATAATATTAGATATTTTTTTGATTTTTATTAATAATACCAAAATTATAATTTTTATTATTAGTAATTTTATTTTAATTATTAATTATAATCCGTATTATTTTAATTATTATACTTATTATTATTATTATCAATAATAATTTTTATTATTATTAAGTGTTATGATTAATGATAAAATTTATCAATTATTGTTATATTTACGAATAAATATTATTATGAATTTATTATCATTATTATAAATTATTATTTGTTAAAAATAATTAATATCATTATTATTTTTTTGGATTTAATTATTATTATGTTAATTGTTGTATTATTATTAATTGCTATTAATAACTATTTACTTTATTATTATTAACAAAAATATTTATTTTTGTTGTTATTACTCCGTATTTTAATTATTAGGATTATTTTAGTATTGTTTATTTTTTAGATAATTTTGTGATCTGAATGGATCCAATCTGATCTGAATAAATCTAATCTGAACTCATTTGAATGAATCTAATTTGATTAATTAAAACTGATCTGAATAAATCTCATATGATCTGAAGTGATTTGAATGAATCTAATATTCTAATCTAATCTAAACTAGTTTGGATAAATTTGATCTGAATCTGATAAAAATAAGTAATAACTAGCAAAAATAAGCTAAAGAGAATGACACCTTATTGGGTTAGAATATAAACCACACATATTTGTCGTGGGAGAAAAAAAGAAAAGAAAAAAAATAAAAAATTTGTGGCTTCAGATGCTTGGGGTAAATTTGGTGTCGCCATTTGGTGTAGCCCCCTAGCATTTCTCATTAAGTTAATATCTCTACTAGTGGCTAAAAAAATCCTGCATTGTACCAAATCTCACTGTAATGATACTAAACCATATATACTGTTTTTAGATGTGATTAATTTTTTCATCTCAAACCAAAACTGAACCGATATCAAATGGATCGAATCGTGATACAAATATATCAAATCACACTACAAAAAAACTTGACATTTTGTAGCACCAAATTTTGCCACAAAACTTAAAAAAATTAGCCACTACTAATTGTAACAATTCATGAATTTGCCATAAAGTTACCACGGATGCCCTATTACAAAAGGTATTTGTTATAAATTTAAATTTTCCACAAAAATTATAAATTTTGTGGCAAATTATGATTTGCCACTAATAAAACTTTTCCACAAAAGCTCATGTTTAGTGGCACATTTTAGTTGCTACAAATTATTATTTGCCACAAAAAATCATATTTAGTAGGAACATTATAAGGCCACAAATTATACTTTGTCACAAAAGATTGTGTCTAGTAACAAACTTTAATTGCTACAATTGTCACTTTATTGCCGCAAATTAAATTTGCTAGAATTATTTTATTATTATTGTTTTCATTATTACTATAATTCTTATAAATACTTTAATTATTTTTATTGTATTTAAATTTTAAATTATGGTTGCAAACATATTTAAAAAAGTGAAATTTGCATTAAATATGACTAAAACATAAGTCATTTCTCTATTTTGGATTTAAATTTTTTTATTCCCTAAATAAGATTTAATAATATCTAGTTGGAGGAATAATGTCTAGTAATGATAGACATTTATTTGAATAATGACTGATTGATAGTGACCAAAAGTCCTACATTGAGAAATAAAAACATATGGTTCTATATTAAAAAAATCATTATGTTTTAGTCATATTTAGGTAAATTTCTCCAAAAAAGATATATTTAAATTATGTGTTTCTAAAGAACATATTCAAATAAAGTGGGACTCCATCATTATTTTTGGAGTTCTTTTGTGTATATATAAATAGATTGGAGAATGATGGAGCAGTTAAATCTTATTCTTTTCCACTGTGTTCACTTCACAAAAGTTTGTTTTTTCCTTTAATTTGATGACTTAATTTTTTTTTAATGCTAATATTTCACTCATTATTTTCATTCCTTTGTTTTTCTTTTTTTTTTACATGGGAAATTATGTGCCAACCTGCTAATTGTAAAAGATTTACACGGGAAATTTAACAAGATTTTAGGAGTGATGCACAATCAAAATAATACTTGTTCTTTCCCCAAGGTTGTTGAAATTTTTATCTCACCTCTCGATAACTTTTATTTATTTTTGTGTTTTCATTGATTATTTGATAAGATAAAATATTTGTGTCGCCTTTTTTTGAAATACGAGTACATATTAACTTTTTATGCCTCTTTCTATGAGAATGAAAAATATATCTTATTGTGTGAAGTGATGAACTTAATGAAATAGAGTGTTATGGCCAATCGATTTGGGTTAATAGTTTTTGTTATTTTTAGACAAGATGATAACTAAATTGATAATTACCTGCGCGTTGTGCCATCGTTTGAATCTGAAGAGTGAGAGAGACAATAGTGGACTGTTCCATTACTTCCATAATTAAATTAACTCAATAATGCCAAAATCGTAAAGAATGTCAGTGTAAACACACTTGTTGAATTGTATTCTACTTTTCAATTAAAAATATTATATCATAATAGATAATTGAAAACAATACTCATAATATTTATTTATACCCAATAGATAACTGTTCGTTTTAAAAAGGAAATTGGTTAATACCGTGTGATAAAAAAGGAACGGTATTTATTTTAGCTTTTAAACTATTTTTTTTAGATTAATAATAATTATTTTTTAGATTAATAATATCACTTTTTAAAAAAGTAATATTAATTTTAACTTCACAAATATCACAATAATTAACTTACCTTTCCGCCAATTTAACTTACCTTTCTTTAATTATTATAAATATAATAATTATAATAATTATTACTATAATTTTGGCCACTTACCATTTTAACATCACAATTGGCATTTGTAATTGTCATACTCTTTGGGCGGGAAAATCATATGTTGACTCCATGTCTTTTTAAATAAAGTATGGATTCTTGTATATTTGAGATGTTGGGAATGTACCGTTTTTTTGTTTAATCTCTCCATCTCCAATTTGATTACAAATTGCGATATACGAGGAGAAATATCTCACTTTTAAAATCATTTTAATTACAAATTGGTATATCAATAATAAATAAAAATCACATATTAAAAAACTATGTAAAAAATTCTACAAAATAAGAAGTGATAAAAATATTTTATTTTATCAAATACGTAATGAAATCGCGTAAACAAACAAAAGTTATTAAAAGAAGAGAAAAGAATTGTAATCAAATTGGGAATGGAGGGAGTATATGTTTACGTTTCTAAAACATCTTAATGTTTCCTTTGCATTAAAGGGTTTTTAAGTAAAAGTGAAACATTTTTTAGTTATTTGAAAATAAATATATATTACTCTCCCCATAATATTTCTTCTAACAAAAACTATTTGTTTAAAAATGGATTTTTAAAAGTCAAAACAATTTTTAATTTTTTTAGAAAGGGAATTAAAAATGGGTTTGTAAAGGCCAAAACAGGTTTTTTTTTTAATTTTTTTTAAAAGGTTTAAAAACGGCTTTGCAAAAGCCAAAACATTTTTTTCAATTTTTTTAAAAAAGCTTTAAAACGGCTTTGCAAAAGCCAATTTCTTTTTCTTATTTTAAAAACGGCTTTGGTAAAGCCGATTTCCAACTGATGAAATCCTTGTCCACATTCTTCCCACTGCGAGAATTTATTCCGATGGGGGTACTATGATAGGCCCTGATATTTAGAGGTGAATGGATTAGGATTAGTGGATTACTTTGTCTAAAACCTGAGCAACTAAGTTCGTTGAACAATAGACATAGGCTTTGTTTGGTAACCGCATTTTTTATTAGCGTTTTGGATAAAATTTTAACGATGCAGATTAATTATAAAAACACTAACGCTAAAGGCTACCGTCGGATAGCTTTTTCAAAACTCTAACGCTAATCCCTTACGCTGATGCCAAACAGGGCCAAATACAGAAGATATAGTGGTTCCTAAAGAGGAAACCAGAGATTTACAATCAGTGACAATTTGAGAAAAAGGAGTTAGACAATTAACGTTTGGTTGTTCCAATGCATTGACTACTTGGGACTGATTGAAAAACTATTCTTCAACGAGCATTGATAATGACAAGTCCAAAAATAGAATGTCAAACGATGACGTGAAACATATCAACCAATCAAAAAGAGTTCAGTTGGGGCATTGATGAGCGAGTGGCCAGGGGCGAGTAATTATTTTTGTTATTTTTTACACCGTTGTGACATATTTCAATTATAAAAATTTGTTTTACTTATATTTTTTTTATTCATAAAAATATATGCGCTCCTTTTTTTAAAAAAGAAACATTTTTTCTACAAATAAAAAAAATAGGAAAAAGAAAGAAGGAAGAAAGCCTCACACAGGACGTGCCCCTGCGGGAGGAACGCACAAGCCAAAGCATGGCAAAATAGAGAAAGGGCTGATGTGGCATGGAGTGGCCTCTAAGGGTGGTCCTTCAACCAGCCAAGAGCTTCTTTTATTGCCAAGACCTTGAAAACTTTCAGGATATGGAAGGATGGTTTTTTAACTGCAAAAGTCTCATTGATGATCATGAACAATCTATCCAACTCTGGCGAGGTTTTTTGGAAGACCAATTAAGGCATCGACGTTGAGCTTTACACACCCACTGGTGGTTTTGTTCAACATCTTCACAAAACAAAATAAGAAAAAGATTGTTCAACATCTTAACCCCATACCCAAGTCATCATGAATAATAAGCACAATCATTAGAGCAATCATTGCAACCTTGAAAAGAGCATGCTTCAACCTTCCCCAACTCCATGCATCTGCGGGAATAGAGGAAATAACCATAAAGAAGACAAAAAAAATCAAACCGTCTGATTTTGTGGAGACATACATAATGTACACGTATATAGACTATGTATTGTCGAGGGTTTGAAAGATCGTTACTACCTTTGGTGGTGCTTCCCTGAACTCCCAAAACTCAACTCGACTGTAATCATGTAGATGGACAAACACTTGAGCTTGGTAAGATTGTTTTTCTCCATATTCTGTTGCAGTAAAGGTGGCATAAAAGCTAATAAAAGTATTTGCAACCCTGCTTGCCTTCACAAGCTCGCCAAATTCAAGATTTCTTCCTCTCTGCAGAGTTAACATCAGTAGGCATAAAATCAGCCAAATATTTTCATAACAACGTGTATTGAGTTAGTTGCTAGGGCATTGATGTTTGATGGTAATAAACCTTTTGATTGAGAAATTGAATTGTTCTTTGTACTGCTACGAGGCAATGATCATAGAACAAGTCTCCAGGAGCAAGACCCACAGGTCGAAGGTGATTGCATACGAAATAGCGAAAATTGGGAGACGGGTTAAAAAAGTGAGTGACATCATAGCCCTAAGGAACAAACAAAAAATAAAAATAAAAACAAGCATTCAAAGGTGAGCAGCAGGGATGAAAAAAATTTTAAGCAAAGCAAGAGCAGTAAAGTAATGAAACAAGATTACATCACTGGCAAGAAAATCAGCCCTGTATTTCCTATAAGATTCCATGTCTTCAGCAATGGAATCATCTATAACCAGAAAAGGTTCCCCATCTGAATCGTAGGTAGTCTCAGTTGGAACGTCTTCTGTGTACAGCTCACGCCGAGACTCAAACGGAGGGTTATCAGTTATGTCAGTAACAATCCCCATGTCATCCTTCATTATATTATCTGGATGAGGTGAACCCTCCGCCTCGGCCTCCTCCTCCTCCTCCTCTTCTTCTTCTTCCCTTGGAAGTAAATCGCAAATTTCCAAATGTGAGAACTCTGTCGCTACAGCAGCCATGGCTCAGATCCTGAAGAGCAATTGAGGTCCCAAAATCACACAATAATTTCATTAAAGACGAAATCATCAAACAATTATAATGAAATCATCTGGGAACAGTTTCCCCGCCCCTCCCCCTCCCCGGGCGCGCTGTTCTAGACGAAACCCCAGCTCTGGTCCGACGAATCCGGCGATTTCCAATCCATTCCAAATAAGTTATGTATGGCATGAGTTATAATCACATACCTAGAACCGAAATCGACGCCGCCTGGATTCGCCCCCGGATCGAAACTTCTCCTTCACGTCTTGACGCGGCTGTTCTCTCTCTCTCTCTCTCTCGAAGGAACGAATCTACAATTGCATTAGGTTTCCCTTTCCTCCCCAAATATATATACTCTATATATATATATATATATCTCCCCTTCCACACCCCACCCACCCACCCCAACACTAAGGGGTGTATTCAATTAGAAGTCTGTAAAAATTTTTTTAACTTTAAGTTAGTGGATTTAGAAAATCAATTGACTCCATGTAGAGTTTGGCATATTCTTTTATTGATTTACATTGAATTTTATATACTTGAAGAGATTTGTTTAGGCCCCGTTTGGTACATGGAATTCAAACTATCGAATTGGAATTGAGGACTTCAATTCCAATTCTGGAGTTTGGTAGCACAAAAATTATGTGGATTTGAAATTGATAGTGCAAAAAATGAATTGAAATTGACAGAATTCAATTCTTTGGAATTGAATCCCATGAAATTTCAATTCCAATTCTATTCCAATTCCACCAATTCCTTGTACCAAACGGACCCTTATTGATTTAGATGGATTTCTTCTTTGTTTAACTTTTTTATTCATCTCATCCATGACACTTGCCCTTCCTTCCCAAATCTAGGTCTTCCCAGTGCCCTTCATTCTACAAATAACAATCATGCATGATATATTTTATTTTATAATTTTTAAATATGATATCATATATTTTTTTTAGACAAAAAAGGCTACTTTGTTTTTTTTAATTTAATAAATGAGAATTTACATTTATATTATATAAGTAGATTTTTTTTGTATTTTTCTCATTTATCATTCTACACATACCAACCATGCATGATATACTTTAGTTTATAATTTTTTAAATATGATATCATAAATGTATAAAAATACTCTACACCAATTTTAAATATGATATCATATATTTTTAATATACTCTACACCAATTTTAATTTTTTAAATATGATATCATATATTTTTTTGGTTGGACAAAAAAGCCTACTTCGTTTTTTTTAATTTAAGAAATGAGAATCTACATTTATATTTTATAAATAGATTTCTTTTGTATTTTTCTCATTTATCATTCTACAAATAACAACCATGCATGATATATTTTATTTTATAATTTTTTAAATATGATGTCATAAATATATAAAAATACTTTACACCAATTCTAGTGCCGTGAGGATCGCAGAAAGACGCAAAGAAAAGGGTAAGAAACAGAAAAGGAGGTGAACTGCTAAGTTAAATGCTGCTAGGGTTAGCATTTCAATTTTTGGCGGTTTGGTTCTAAATGCGAATTCCAAAAGCCATTATCCAAACAAATAATTTGACGGTTTGACTAGTCCAATCCACTTTTTATGGGCAAAGATGCCAAATGCTAGATGAACCGCCATTTACCAAACATGGCCATTGATTCCTAAAGCGAGCGAGTCAGTATTTCCCTTCTCAAGGAAGACTTGAACGGGCAATGAGCCAAGGCCATTGACTTGAGATAGTAAACTAAAAACCAAGCCATAAAAAGACTTAATCCAAAACCCGAACTCGACCCGAACCCGACATTTCAATCCAAAACCCGAACCCGACCCGAACCCGACTTTTAACCAATAATCAATTCGACGTACCTCAACAAAATGATTAAATCTAATTTTTTTCTCTTTTTTTGTGTCTCATTTTTATTAAGTAATTATAAAAAATCATTTAAAAAGACATATTTGATATAGTAGCACTTTATCAAGAGATTATACGGAGTGCTCATTATATCCATAGATAGGCTTTTATGTTAAAAAATATTCGGGTTTGAGTCGGGTCAGGTGCGGATTCGGCTTGGGTCGGGTAAAATTATAAACCCACACATGACCCGACCCGATGTCGGGTTTGGGTAAAAAATTTCGAGTCGGGTTCGGATTATTGTATTCTTAGTTCGGGTTCGAATATTTTAGTGCTCGGTCGGGTCCGTTAAGCTCGGGTTCGGTTGAATTGCCATCCCTAATTCAGATATGTTTGCATTGAATCAGTACCCTTCGGAAGACCATGTAAACGCTTTTTCAATTAAAAAATATGAGTACATGATAAGGAATTATATCGTTGTTCAAGGTGACTCCAAATTGCTATATATAGAGGTCGGTAGGGCATGAATGTGAGTCTGGTGGGAGAGACAACAACCAGAAGACAGGCCTAGATTTGGGCATCAACAATCATCCATGTTTTATAGGTAGGATTACTTTTCATAATTGGTGGTTCATCCTTACCTGTAAGAGTAGCTTTTTCGTCCAGAACAATAGGTGGGGGAGGCATTTCAGATCCATCAACATAACCATCAACATAATTATCAAGTCATCAACATAACCAAGAAGACGATGAGCCATGAGATTTTCTCGAACATGTGGCTAACCAAGAAGGGTTGGATAATTTGTATCATCAAGTTTGGCCAAAGTAAGAGATTATATTGAATATTCCGGACAAATAATATTAGACCCGTAGGGACTAGGGAGACGATACATAGGATCAAGAGAGATGGGTTCCATGTTACAGGCATTTACAGTTCGGCGACAGAAATCGACGGTCAACGACACAAGAAGGCGATTTTTTTTTATGTTATTGCGGAAGGGAGAGGAACGAATCTCCGCGCTCCGATACCATGTTGATTTAAAGAATTATGAATTTCACTCAATGAATAATATGGATACATGGTAGTTTATAAGGTAATTTATCTAAATAGGACTAAAACATAATGATCTTCTCAATAGAGGACCATATGTTTTTATTTTCCAATAATGTAGAATCATTGGTCATAATCTTTTAGTCATTATTCAACTAATATTTTAGACCGTAATTATTTTTAAGGTATTATCTTTTAGTCATTATTCAACTAATCTTTTAGGAACGAAAAAGATAATGACTAATACTTGAGAATCCGGCCGTAATTATTTAAAAAATTGTAGTCCTTTGTTACATTTTTAAGGTACTCCTTTGTTACATTTTTAAGGATAGAGTATATTTTTTTGTTACAAGTTGAAGATGTGGTATTTTTTATTACAACCCTCAAAGTTGGTACGTGTCAAATTAAATAACCAACTTTTCTCTACAAATTTTTTGAACACACATATTTCTTTCATTAAAAAGTGTAAATTAAACTTTAGCTAAAGACCATCTAAATCAAATATGTAAAATTTATTAATAATGGTTAATTAAGAGAGGGATGAGTATATTTGATGGAGATGCTTGAAGAGAATCTAAGGTAGAGAGAATAGAAGATCATTAGTAGTAGGCCAAGCCAAGCCAAGTCAAGCTCATTACCCTCAAATTAAAAACACAATAATCAAACAAGTAAAGAAAAGAATTCCTATTGCACACGCTTGGCCTATATAACCCCCTCTCCCACTTCTTTTCTTGCTTCCTTCCCCCCCTCCTTTTCTTTACCTTTTCCATTACTTTTTACCTTTATCAATCAACCAAAGAAAATAAAAATTCACCCTTGCCATGAATAATTCTTCTCCTAGAAGAAAAATCACCATTATCCCAATTCTTCTTCTTCTTCTTGTTTATGGTAATTAAAATATTTACCTCCCCTGTAAATCCCTCTCTCTGTATTTTATACATTGTTTTATAATAAGTACTGATGATTTAACAGGTTTTGGTTTTCTCAGAGAAGTAAAAAGTCTGGGGATTAACTACGGCCAACTGGGGGACAATTTGCTTCCGCCGGAGAAAGTGTTGCAGCTCCTGCGAGCTTACAAGATCACGAAGACGAGAATTTACGACACCAACCCGAAAATCTTGACGGCGTTCGCCAACTCCGGCGTCGAGCTCATCGTGACGGTCGAGAACCAGAGGCTGGCGGCGTTGGGCGGCAGCGACCCGCAACCGGCGGCGCAGTGGGTGGAGACTCAGATTCGCCCATTCTTCCCCGCGACCAACATCACCGGAATCGACGTCGGAAATGAGGTCATCACCGACGGCGACACGTCGCTGATGGGATACCTCGTACCCGCCATGGTAAATGTCCGCCGCGCGCTTGCAAGTCTCGGATTTGATCGTAACATTAAGGTATTGAACCAAATCATGACTATAGTCTAGTTTGACTTCTTTATTTAATTTAACTAATTTTAGTAATCAATTAGTTTAATCTGTATTGTATATTACTCCGTATTACAATACATTAAAATTTTAAAAGTTCTAAAAAAAATAAATCATATGAAATAATTTTTATACTAAAATACATTTCTATTTTTTATTTAATTAAGGTTTAAAGTTCGTCCAGTTTGATTCTAAAGTACGACTAAAAGATATAAAAATGAAACCCATATACTTCATCCATGTATTATAAAAACAGTCTAATGAATCCAAAATATAAAAATAAATAAAAAGAAATACTACATTTTTATTTTTGACACGTAGGAAAAGGTAGTGAATCATAAAGGAAATTTGAAAAGGTTCTTGTGACAGATCTAAAAGAAAAAAGAACATGGGCATGCAATGGCCCTCTCATCCATAACAATCTTATGTCAGCTGATAGAGATGTTTGTACTCTTTTTTTTGGCTTAAAATATTCACTCAAAATTATTTTCAATTTAATTTATACTCCCTCTGTCCTCAATTTGATTACAAATTACGGGATACGAAAAAAAATTCTACTTTTTGAAATTATTTTATTTACAAATTAGTATAACAATAAGATATAAAAATTACATATTAAAAAACTACGTCAAAAGTTCTACAAAATAAGAGGTGACAAGAATATTTTATTTTATCAAATACTTAATGAAATCGCGTAAACAAACAAAAGTTATCGAGAGGAGAGAGAGAAAAAAATTGTAATCTATTTAAGGACGGAAAGAGTACATATTAATTAATAATGTAATGTGAAAAAAATGAAGTTTCATATTTAAAATCTATTGCAAAAGGTCTATAAAACATGTAACCAATGGAGATAATACTATTTTGTACTCTATTCGTCCCAAAATGTTAGCAATATTTCGAATAAACGTGTAAAATATCATTTTTTAGAATAATTTTATTTATAAACTAGTAGAAAAATAAAAAGTAAAAATTACATCATTCAAAAATAGATCAAAATTTTTACAAAACAAGAAGTGACAAGAATATTTTATTTTATCAAATGGTCAATCAAAACAAATAAACAAACAAAAATTATCGAAAGACCGAAAGAGAATATATGGTTTAAGTAGAGGTTTACAAAACATTACATCTTTCTTGGCATGACCAATGATAGAGATCGATGATAGTGTGTCGTGTGTACGTTCGACACATCGTTTATCATAATTATAGTCCATAGCTGTTATCGCTTGACACATCGAGATCGCTGTGAAATTATACTTTTAAATTTTAATTTAACATCAATAAAACATATTGTTAAACAAATAAATATCAATCATAAATGAATCACCAAAAACATAATAAGAGTATCTTTTTGACAAATTATTGGATTTAACCCAAAACACAACAGGTGTCGTCGCCTCATTCGCTAGCGGTGCTGGGGAATTCATACCCGCCGTCGGGAGGGTACTTCAAGCCGGAGCTCGCCGGAATGATGCAACAGTTCCTAAAGTTCCTCGCCGAAACGGAATCTCCGTTCTGGATCAACGCCTACCCCTTCTTCGCCTACAAGGATTCCCCCAACAAAATCCCCCTCGACTACGTCCTCTTCAACCCCGGCGCCGCCGGCACGGTGGACCCCGCCACCAACCTCCGCTACGACAACATGATGTACGCCCAGGTCGACGCCGTCCTCGTCGCCATGTACCGCCTGGGATTCAACGCCGTCGAGGTCAGGGTGTCGGAGACTGGGTGGCCGTCGAAGGGGGACCCCAACGAGGTCGGCGCCTCGCCGGAGAACGCCCGGATTTTCAACGGGAATCTGATGAGGAGGCAGAGGATGAACCAGGGGACGCCGTTAAGGCCGGGGTTGAGATTGGAGGTTTACGTTTTTGCCCTTTTCAATGAGAATCAGAAGCCCGGCCCGACGTCGGAGAGGAACTACGGCTTGTTTCTGCCGGACGGGACGCTGGCGTATGATGTTGGGTTGTCGTCGGAATCCGCCGTGCCGTCGTCTCCTTCCACGCCGTCGGCGGCTACCATTTCTCTGACGTCATCTGCTCCAAAGGTGAATCCATAATTACTCCGTAGTTTGTTTCTTTTGTTTGCTTACTAATGAAATACTCGGTATTTGCCTTAAATAAGACTAAAATTTAACTCATTTTCCTAAATAGCACTTAATTGTTTTATTTCTTAAATAATACTTAATAATGTCCATAATGTCTAGTTATGTCGAATATTTGCTTGAATAATGACTAATGCATAATGACTAAAAGTGCGACATTGAGAAGAAAAATACATGTGATGCTATTTAAAGAAAGTCATTATGTTTTAGTGCTATTTAAGTAAATTCCTCTTTATTAATCTCTCTAGTTAGTCTGTGAAATTAGTTAGAGAATTTCTTTTTTCTTTTTTTTTAATCTAGTTTTATACGGATTACTAATATCAATAATATGTACTGTACTCATATTTAATTATATATAAACACTAATCAAAATATTTCCGTTTATTTTTAAATGGGTTCAATTTTTTTATTAATTCCCATCGTCCAATAATATAGTTCTCGTTTACTATTCATAGGGTCAAATTTTATTCACTATGTTGGTCTATTTTTGTGTCATATTTGATAAAATAATATAGTCATATTCACCTCTACTTTTGCAAATCTTTTCATGTAGCTTTTAAATATGTAAAAGTTATTTATTTTTTGATTCCATACCATTTTTTATATAAAATAGTTTGAAAATAATTTAAGTCAAATATCGTAACGCACGATGAGAACTTTATTTATGAACGAATGAAGTATGTTGTAACTATGGACACGATGCACTAGGGCGCACGGGACGGGTGCAGGGGCGAGTTTGACTCTAAAGTCAATAAAATATATATATAGGTAAATAAGTTGTGAAGTGAAAAACCATTGAAAAGACAAATAATTTTTGAAATCATTTTTATACTGATATACACTACGTAATACAATAATTCTTATTTAATTGATGATTAAATGTCGTTCAGTTTGATTCGAAAAACTAATGGTCTTAAGAATTGTACCCATCATCTTTGAATTAACAAAACTTTTGATACCCCCATTCCAAACCATTCTTATTTAAACTAAAAATGTTTTTACCTTTTGTCTTTCCGTCCCACGCACATGTTTGGTAGCTGATAAATCATGGCGCTAATTATTGCAATAAAACAGGCAGAGCACATGGAGTACCAAAGCTTTGTGCACACAAGCATTCTATTCTTCTTGGGGTGCCATGTAATTTTGACCATGTGATGAAGTCTACATTAAGGCAATATATATATGGACACTAATATTTCATCAGCTGTCTCATAAAATGTTTTACATATTTTCTCTTTTAGGTGTACTGTTCTTAAAAAAAATTACATTTATTTTTATTTCATATTAGAGTAAAGAATATATATATGTACGATAGGGTACAATATTTCTTTCACATTTAAACAAATTATATATGATCAATACATTTTTTATGTTTTAACACTTTGTATTTCAGAAAGTAAAATTGTAACGTACTTTACGGGAATGAATTCGCGGAATAAATATATATTTCACATATTTCAAAGTTTTTTTTGGGTGGGGTGGGACTTGGGAGGTGGGGGGCAATTATGGGCCTAGAATGAATGGAGCACTTGGTGGGTTCTTATTGTGGTTTTGTGAGTGGCTGGGAATTAGTGAAGAAGCTAAGGTTATCTATTCCATTCAGCCAAACGTGGTCTACATGAAGACATTGAAGGGGCCATCGGTCATTTACTCCAATTTAGCTGGAGAGGAAAAGCAAAAACAAAAAAAAGGGGAAAAAAAATTCAAGATAGCTAGCTAGGGTCAAGAATGTCACTTCACCCATGTGTGTTGAGCCCTGTTTCTTTTGGTGCTCCGGGAATAATTTGATCTCCAATATTTGTACAGTTATTGTTAATTTGAGCTGATATCTCATTACTCATTATTGCTAATTTGAGATAATATTTCATTAACTAATCAATCAATTAAATACTCCGATCCCACAACTATTTTCTCCTCTCTTTTTTCTTTTAATTTTTTTGACCTTTTAAAGAAGAAAATTAAATTTGATCAAAACATTTTTAATTTGTGTATAAATATGCATGGGGTACATTATGTGAATTAATTAGGATATATATTTAGATTTCTTTCAAAAATTATACTTCCTCCATTCTCAAAAAGAGTTCATATTTTGACCAAGTGCAAAAATAAGAAAGTGTTAAATTGTAGTTTACTCCCAATTTTATCCTTGATGTGATGGATAGATTATTAAAGAAAAAAAATGATGTGATAATAGATAGAATATGAAAAAGTAAGGATAAAAGTTGTTTTTTAATAGAGAGTGTAAATATTTTGTTGGAAGTGAAAAAAATGAAAGAAAAAATGTTTTTAAGGAAGGAGTGAGTAATATATAATTTTGAAATATGATAATGAGCATACTTTCCATGAGTTTTTACTCCATATATTTGTTCTTTAACAAACTTTACATTTCGATTTACAATGTTCATCTCAATATAACTTATTTCAATGTTGGCATAAATTTCAAAAAATATTAATTACCCAAATATCATATGAGTGACTTGAGGATGTCGTCCCACTAACTTAATGGCAAATGGAAAAACAACACTACCTAATGAAAATACTCCATATAAAAAGACTGATTATTAAAGAGTATAAAAAAATGAGATAACACATTTTTTTGATATTTTTATTTTTTATTTACTATTTATTTATTTATTAATAGTCTGATTATTAAAAAATTGAAAATAACTTAACGGAAAAATAGTTTGATTATTAAATTCATTTTGTAAATAAATTAAATAAAGTTAATTCAAGTCATTAATTTTTTATTAAATTTTTTTCAATTAATTTTCCATGGCCTAAAAATACAAATAATAAAAATTATTTAAAAAAACACATAGTGGCAAAGCTAAATAAATATGAATAACAAATAAATGTGAATTCTGGAAGGGATGGTAAAATCAGCCGATCACGTATGATATCTTCGCTTTGTTTGAGAAATTAGGGGACTCGAGTATAGAGTAGGAAATAATTGAGAGAGAATATTTTTTTTCTGAAAACTACTCCCTCCGTACCAAAAACTCATTCTACTTTCTTTTTTTAAGTGTCCTATAAAATACTTTTCATTTCTATTTAAAAATCACTTTTACCCCTACTAATTTTTGACATATCACATCATACCTTTTTACTATTCCGTAATAACCTATACATCATATCTTATTTTTACTCATCATCACATCAATGATATTTTGAAAAAGTCAATACAAAAATATTACGGAGTACTTCCTTAAATTATATAAAAGTCAAAACAGGAACATCTTTTGAGATGGACGAAGAATTTTCTATCATTGTTTTGAAAAATATTTTCTATATCAAAATATTTTTTCTCAAAGAAATATTTTTAAACCACTTATGTTACCAAACATTGAAAATTAAATTTAAAATTTTCTAATGAAATATTTTTTCTCCAAAAAAATGGACTCTAAGATTATAACCAAATGTCATTATTTAGTGGGAGGGCATCCATACCCGTTCAAATGTGAAGGCATGGAAGAAAAACCCAAAGTTAAATATGAAAAATGATGTGAGAACAATTTGAATACAAGGACGCACTTCCTCCGACCCAAAATGTTTGCCATGTTTCCCTTTTCGACCATTTTAAGAATTTTTACTTATTTGTATGTTTTCGTTGATTATTTAATAAAATAAAATATTCTTGCCACATCTTATTTCTTGACACTACCATCACATCACAAGGGTGTGAATTCTGCGATTTCCGTCAATCACACCCAATTTTTCACTTTATATTTTTAAAAATCATAATTAATTTATAATAAATAAAATTAAATAAATCATACAACTGCATTAAAATCAAAGTTACATTGACATAACATGATAAAAAATAAGCAGGAAAACTATTCGGGATTCTTTTATGAAAAAAATTAAAGTAGAAAATCAAACGGACACGTGGCGTCCAATTCTCGGCCATCCCTGCTCCCACACCGCATGGTCTAATGAAGATTGTACAAAATCGAACATAGAGATAATCGTGACTTGAAAACAAAACCAAAAAATCATAAATAAATCACAAAATCAAACATAGAGATAATCATAAATAAATAAATAAATTTAATTCTTTCGTTTTAGAACAAAATAAAAAATGTGAAATTTTCTAGTAGCATACGAGAAATTTTCTTCTGGGTTGCAATTGACAAGGGAAGAGAGGATTCGGACCAGGACGAGCTAAGGTGAGGGGGTTTACCGGAAGGTTAGTGTGATATGAATCATCAACTTTTTAAATGGAGTACTCTACAAATCCCAAATGAGACCAATGTCACAGGATAACATGGGTGTTAATGTCCCTACAATAGAAAAAGACTAAACTATAAGTAAAATATTAAAAATATATATACCGAAATAGAATTTTTTATTCCCAAAATAGGAATTAAAATGCATTTACATTATCAAATATGACTATGTACATTACCAAAAAATATAATAAAACAATCATGTAAAATGTCATATTATCACCGTGCAAATTCTTATCTAAGAAATAAAAATATAAAACTTTTATTTTGATACTTTTATCTGTATTTTAATCTTATTTATATTAGGGTGATTTCTCTCATTGGAACCCCCATATATGAAATTGATCGAATAAAGCTAGGGAAAAAAAGGGAAAAAAAAATTGAAAAGTACGATAGATCATGGAGGGATGTATAGTCTACTTTGTTTCCCCTTTTGCATGTGAAATTAGGAAACCCAATGTGCATATGCACCTAATGCACGTACTCTTTTACTCTTCCCGTCTCGAAATAGATTACAATATTTCCGCACATTTTTGTCCCAAAAAAATTACAAAGTCAATAACTTTACAAGAAATTGATTTTTTTACCCTCCCACTCCTACACTATTCACGCACTATTCATCCATGTGAGTGGGAAGGATGGGGGATTTGGGGGGTAATTTAGGTAAAAAAAATTTGATTCGACTCTTTTTTAATTTCAACAAAAAAGGAATATTGTAATCTAAAGTGGGACGGAGAGAGTATTTTTTTTGTTGGTAAATGCTAGGGATATATTAAAGGTATATCTCAAATGTACCCCACCTCTTCCTTGACCACAAAAATTGGCAAGTAAATTCAAAAATATAAAAATAAATAAACAAATAAAAATAGATGGTGAAAAAGCATGTAGTGTACATTTGGGGTACTCTAACATCTCTTTTTTTGTTGATAAATTTATTAGGGGATGTGTGTGTGTGTGTGGAGCAAATCGAGTTGGGATCAGGATATATCATTATTTTTTGTTAGTTACAGATAAAAAGGTCTTTGCTTTTGAACGTGGATATTGCACTACTGTTGTTTTTGGCAGATCAAAGATACTAATGTACATTTGGGTGAACTTTCTTAGCCTTAAAAAAATTACTTCCTCCACGGATTAATAGTTCGATCAAGTGTTAAAATAAAAAAGTGTTAAAATTGTAGTTCAATTATAATTTTAACTTTAATGTGATTGGTAAAGTAAGATGTGATGGATAAATTATATATTAGAGAAAAAATATGATTTGATAAGTAGAGTGTGGAAAAAGTAAGAGTATTATTTATTAGATCACACACTAAGTAGGATATTAGAGAAAAGTATGATTATTAGATCACAGTCACATATTACACTATCATCATCACTCTTCTATCACATTTTCAACGCGTACTCTTACACTACACTGTCATTATACTCTTATTTTGATCTTAAAAGACGCAAGATTCATATTTTGGTATTTTCATACTCCATCCGTTCCTAAATATTTTGTCACACTTATATTTCTGAGGCAAAATATCAAGTTTTTTCAATACATTTTATTTACATATTGGAATAGAAATAAAAAATAAAACTTACATATCAAAAAAATACATGAAAAGTTTTTCGAAGTAAGAGATGTCAAGAATATTTTATTTTATCAAATAACCAATGAAAACGTAAAAATAAGCAAAAGTTTCCGCAACTGCTGAAAAAGCAAACGTTGCAAATATTTTGGTACGGAAGGAGTACTTTTTTACTCATATCGAGCTAAATTTCTTTTGTTCATATCTATTTCCCCCTCCATCCCAAAACTTTTTAATTACCTCTTTATTATGATCATCCGATAATTTTTGTTTGTTTACATGTTTTCATTTTGCCGCCTCTTGTTTTGTAAATATGTATATATTTTTTGAATTCGTAAGTTATTTTTTATTTCTATATTAATTTATATGTAGAAACATTTTTAAAATCATGGGATTTACACATCATTTGAATATGGAATACAACATAAAGTCAGAGGAACTCACCATAATTCCGATGTCTAAAGAACTTTGCCAAATTATTTTATGAATATAAAATGTATGGAAATTTTAAGTACACATATATTTTTTATTTTTAATTTTTTATAAATCATAGTACAATTTTCAATTGAAACATATTTTGAATATTTTATATATTTGTCCTTAATTTTTTTTTTTTAAAAAATATATTTTACATAATTATTTATAATATAATTTAATTTCAAAAATTTGAGATGCATGTTCAGATATGTTCCTACAAATTACCGTTTCTATTTTTTGATTTTGATTTCGCATAAATTAGAGAATTGATTAAAAAATGTTAAGAAATAAAAGCGAGTGGTTACAATTTTGTTTAGAAGTTTGAATGAATGTTTTCGACAACACATACTTTTATAATAGAAAAATAAAAAGAATGATGTGTATAGTTAAAAACATTAAGAGAAACATTCAAGAGATATAGATGCTCTTAGTACATAAATCTTAGAGTGTCATTATCACTTGCTAAATTTATAATTTCAAAACAATCTTCTTAGCAATCTTCGTAGCAACGATTACAATCTCTCGGTAATTTATATTTGTATGTATGTTTGCATTGATTATTGGATAAAATAAAACATTTTTGTCACATCTCATTTTTTTGTAGAATTTTTATATAGTTTTGAATATTGTAATCTGTATTTTTTATTTCAATACCTATTTTTATAGATTTTGCATGGTGTTCAAAATTAAAAAAGTTACATAGGAAATAAGAAGCATGACATGAACCCTAGGAATCTTGTACTTCCTCCGTCCCTAAATATTTGTCACATTTGTATTCTCGAGATAAAACATTAAGTTTTTTCAATTTATTTTATTTATATATTGGTATAGAAATAAAAAATAAAACTTACATATCAAAAAACTACATGAAAAGTTCTTCGAAATAAGAGGTGTCGTGAATATTTTATTTTATCAAATAACCAATGAAAACATAGAAATAAACAAAAGTTCTCGCGACTGCTGAAAAAGCAAACGTTGCAAAAAATTTGGGACGGAGGGAGTATTATTTTGTAGAGTTGTGCTATTGTGGTTATAAGGTCTACATGTAGAATGTAGATTTTCTCACACATTTTTAAGAACTCGTAAATAGATCTCTTATTTTGTAGTATATAACTCAATGCATATGATCATTTTATGCATTAAAACTTATAAGAGTGTTTTTAGTGAGCAAGAAAGATGAATTTTGATATTTCTAGATATCTAAATTTTCTATTGTGTTTATAAAGTAAAAAAGAGATATCGATCTTGATATCACAAAATATCATAAATGTTAAAATTTGATATCTCATGAATATGGAAATTTGATACAGACCATCTTCCTCAACTGTTTATCATTTTATGTCACTGATTATCATTCTTATCACCAATTACCATCATTGCTGATCAACCTCACCACCTATCACTTATTTAATTGTAATTTTACATCTTTCAAAATAAATTTTTCATATTTCCACTAAAAAAAATCATTTCATTTTTTAAAATGCATATTATTTCTACCGGATTTTTAAACTCATTTCATGTTATGTTAGCTCACAAACTCACCAACCAAATAGGCCCAAAAATTGATCGGACGAATTTGCTTATTTTGATTCGATTCAGTAAGCGGAAAACCTCTTCTCCCGCAGTTCAAAAGTAAAAATCCATTTTCTCGATCGCCGAGCAGGCCAGCATTTCTCATCAATAATGGCGCTTCCGTCGGGGTTTCGCGAGAGACTGGAACAAATGGAAGAGACGAGAAACCAGCGCCTCCTTCTCCTTGAGGTATTTTTGCATTGAATTTGTTTTTTCTCTCTGGAATCACTCGGGTGTAGCGACAACAAACGCAAATTCTGAATGTGCCATTGTTGATCTTAACAGGCGGAGAAAGAGCTACAGATCAACAAGTCTCGGGTATTCGCCGCCAGGCTCTCGAGCGTCAGATCCGCTGAACAGCGCTGCCTTAATCTCGAGCGCAAGATCGTTTCCCAGCAGTTACTTATTTCTGCTCTGAAATCTGAAATCGATCGTGTGGACTCCGATCATCTCCGATCTCTTCAGAAATTCAGGTATGAATATATGCATTTTCTCTGTCATTTGAATGCTATTAGTTCATGCAATTGATTCGATTTAGTATATGGTCCTTATGATTTATAATGCCGGAATGAAGAAAGTGCTAAAATCGACCTCTATGGCTCGATCGATTGAAAATAGTGTACTTACACCAACTCCAATGCACCCTTTATAATCTAAAAAATAAATGGTTTACACTTTACTGTAGATAAAGTAGAGCTCCAATGGGTCATTTAAATTTTAGAGCATTAGTTATTTTTAACTTTACATACTCTATATATAGATGATCATTAGTCATATGCTATAAATAAAATGAGCAAGGTTCCCATGACATCAATATCATGGGATGACTCGGGGGCGCTCCGGTGTCCCGTTCGTAAATTGACGGTTCCTACCCCCCTAACCCCCCGGTAAACCCTTCCACCCCGCCTCGACCCGAATGCACCCCCCACCCCTTCAATTGCACCCCACAAATTGATTTTGACTTTGGAGTCAAAATTTGGTGGAAAAATATTATTATAAAATAATTCTAAATTATTATAAAAATTTAAAAAATAAATGATGTGGTTGGAGAGGTGGTAGAAAAGTAGAATGCTAAATCACTGTTGGGAAGCTAAAATAGCATTTAGCTTTCCAATTTTTAGCACATCCATTGGAGATGCTCTTAGCACTCTATGCATTAAAAAGGCTTCATTGAAGCACCTGAAATCAGTATAATAATGCAATCTCCCGTATTAGCATATCTTCATGTAATTATTGATTGGCACCTATGCGAGCTTAAGAAGTACTCCGATTAGACTCAATCCCGTGTGGAAATAGATATGATATAATATGGATATTGAAATCTGGAGAAATGTTGAGTTTCGATCAATATCCAAAATGAAGTTATTTGGATTAATTTATAATCATGATTTAATTAGTAATTGGTGGGGGTCACCGGCAACAGGGGTGGTTGCCGGTGACAATGGTAGCCGGTAGATATGGATGGTCAACGGTTGAGAGAGTATCAAATCTCCACATTGACAGGCAGAAATGGCACAATTTCAGATCAACTTTAAAAGACTGTGGAGATGGGGAGAGATGATGATGCCTTTCAGATGGGTGGTGGCAGAGGATCCAATGGTGGAGATATCTCAACTTGTGTGATAACGAGGGTTGCTTCTGAGTAGTTTTTTTTCATATGGAATAAAATCTTTTGTAGCAATTAAGTTCATTCTACTCTGCATTTGTTTTCCATTTTGGTTTGTTCTCATCTTGGTTTTGATCTCTGCCTATGCATGATTTAGGGTTTCGAATCAGGCTTTTTGGAGATCTATTCGGTTTGAGAACTAACGAGGTGCTGTCCAAGAACATTGGTTCCTTGCTGGGCTTCTCCTTTTCGTGTTTCTCAGTTTCTTTCTCCAGTACTATTATGTTTGTTCATAGGGAGAATAATGTAGTGGCTCATACTCTTGCTAGACAGGCTGACAGGCAGAAACCGAACGGTGTGCTACTCCTCCTGAGTTTGTATCATCTATGGTGATTCATTAATGGCTTGCTTTCCCTTCCAAAAAAATTCAATCCCTTTTATTGCCCAAATTTAGCTTCTCGAGCATCTTCTCCTTAGCTATTCACTACCATGCAGTTCTCTTCAGCGAAAGCCTTTGAATTCTTTGATTTGTTCAGCATTTACTAACTAAAAACTTCAGCGAAAGCCACCGTAGCTCAAGACCTGCTTAAGTAGTTTATTGCATTATTTGCGTAGGTAGTGCTAGCATTAACAGGTTGCATCCTTCTGAATAAGCCAATTGAAGATTTATTATCCCAGTTTGAGATTATTTGTATGGAACTTTTTACCGTTTGAGTGGTCTATTGCACTATCCAAGATAGTCCGAGGGCATATTTGATACTTCTGCCCCCCAAAATAATGGCAGAAGTGTCCTCTCCATTTTGTCATAATATTTATATTACTAGAATAAAATACCTTAGTCACTTTGATAAATGTTATGTAAAGTACTTATGCATCAGTTCAAACAAAAGGAGAAGGAAAGCGAGCAAGGAAACTGAGCAAGGAAAGGAAAGTGAGCAAGGAAACTGAATTATATTAGATGGGTTATACTCCATATATAATTCACGAAAGCATTGAAAGGAAAGTGAGCAAGGAAACTGAATTATATTTTTCTGTGTGTGGAGACCTGTATGCGAGCTTACTCTATGGGCACAGTATAGACCTATTATTGGTTGTTTTGCTATAAGGGGAATTCATGCATTACTTGAAGTTCACTTTGTTGTCTGAATAAAATGCTGATCTGCTTTCATACGACGTAGCCTGAATCTATTGCCATGTCTTCATCTATCTGTCTTTGTATGTGTGCAATGTGGAAGTCTAGTAGAGGAAGAATAGCTTGTAAACGAAGATAGTTCTTAGGGAATTTGAAATAATTAGGCATTTGAAGGTCGAGGTGGAGGACTTGGAGGAATTAGAAAAAGAAAAGCAGAAGTATTACGCTTCAGAAAATGCGGAGATGGAAGAGTTCATGGAGCATGTGGGGAACTTTGCGGTCGAAATGCATGTACAAGTAGAAGAACTGAAAAGTGACTCCAATGCGGTCAGTAAAGTCTGTTTCTTGCCTTTTACTTGCTTGCTTCTTTTATTGGTTTGCATCACTTGTTTAACAATGATCATGCATTCTGCAGATCATAATGTTCACTTTTTTATGATATGTGGATAGGAATTAATTTTTGAAGTGGAATAATATAATGTGATACTCCGTATAACGATTGTTTGAGGTTTAATTCAAATCCCCAATTATAAATGTTATGACCTTCACTTGCTCTAATTGTTAGAGCTAATACCCAATTTAGTCGTCGACTATGCATTATCACTCAAATTAGTCATTGACTTTCTCTTGGACTCAATCGAGTTTTCTAATATGAATTTTAGACTCAGATTTAGTTTTCATGCACAGTTTGCTCTAATTCAGAAATGTGCGTTTCCATACGGAGAGCGTTATTGTGATATTCACATGTATCCTTGTTCAGCTGAAGGCGAAATTTGCGGAACTACAAGGCAGCCTCAACCATTCGGATAACTCCGAGATAGCTGCAGCAGAGAGAAGAAAATCAGAGCTCCTAACTATCAAGCAGAGCATGGAGAGAGAGATGTCTCTGAAACACCAATTCAGAGAGCAGTTGAGAAGGCAGCTTGCAAATCTGTTGACCTACCAAAAGCCCACATAGAGACAAATGGTTTCACTTGTAAAGCCAAGGGCCATTCCACTTCATGTTGCTAACTGGTAAGTATTGAAAAATTATGGCATTTCTAGTCGGACTTTGGTACAACTGCGAAGTACTTCGTCGTCCCATAAAAAGAGTCCTCATTTTAGCGAAACTTATTTTCCAATTATGAAATGGTCTTTTTTTCATCAGGCGAAACTCCGTCAGCTCATTTTCCAATTATCGTTCCTAGTTCTTCCGTCACGCGTGATGAAAACGCCACAGGGCGAAATGATCTTAGCCCAAAGGGGAAAAGTCACAAACAATTGACATAAGAACAAATGCCCCCACTTACCTCTTAAACGATCGTTTATGTTATAGGTTTACCCTAATCCGGCATGAGAAAGATTCTTTTTATTGTCGAAAAGAGTATGGCCTTTATTTGTGTTCCCTGCGTTCAAATGGATTGTTGAGTTAGCTCTTTTGAAATTCAAATATATAAAATAATTAATGACAACATAACTAAAAGTACTTTGCGTCAAATTCAAATAATATTAGCGTCATGCATTATTATATACGGAGTATATTTGAATTTATTTAGATCAGATGAAATCATTTAAATTTAACAGTATATAAAAGAACTGATGACATTAAAATCATCAACATCAAGTAAGGAAAGTGACACTTTAATATTGAGATTAAAATCATCAACATCAAATTTCTGGGGATTGGGATTATAAATTCACCTTCTGACTCAAACGTTCTTGCGAGTCGTTTTTTAAAACAATATCTTGGCTTTAGATATCATAAATTAGACCATATTGATAGAATAAAATTATATTGCTTACTACTCCCCTAGTCTCTAAAAAATGACCTCATTACTTTTAGCGGTCAGATAAATTTTTATTCTCATCACTTAATTTTGTTAGTCATTTGTAAAAATAATACTTTATTCATCTCAAAGTGTTTTCTAGTTTACGTAAAATGAATTTTTTTTTAATTTTTTTCAAACTCATTTTATTTAAATATTAGTATATAAATAAAAATAAAAGTTACATATTTAATATTTATATCAAATGTTTCACAAAATAAAAAGTGACAAGAGTATTTTATTCTATCAAGTAATCAACGAAAATGCACAAATAAATAAAAATTCTCATAATATTTTTAATAGTGAAGTGTGAAGATGTTTTTGGAACGGAGGGGAGTATACTTTCGTCAGTTCTTGTTTTAATAAAGAGCACCTCATATAGTTTTTATTTGGGAAAAATATTAATGTAAGAGTAAAACATTGAAAATATATCAAAATAGGAGTTCCATGTTTTTATTCGCGAAATAAGAGTTAAAATATATTTACATGACCAAATATGACCATGTACATTACCAAAAATGCATATGTACAGTGTTACATTACCGCAATGTGAACTTCTATTTAGAGAATAAAATCATAAACTTTTATTTTGGTATTTTCTTTATGTTTTACTCCTATTTAGCGTGATTTTTTAATTATATACCCCAAGTAGTTTTATTTTGAAATTTTATTTCATTATTTAAATAAATTAAATTTACGGTCAATCATTGTAATATGATGCAATGGATAGTAGAGTATGATATTTAGTTACTCTCTCCGTTCTAAAATGTTCTTCCCGTTTTTGTTTGCGAGATTTGACCGACTTTATTTTCAATTCAATTTATTTGATGGTAGGTGTAATGTTAAAAAATAAAATTGATATATTTAAGACTACATCAAAAGTTTTACAAAATAAGAGATGACAAAACTATGTTATTTTGACAAAACCATGTTATTTTACAAAATTGATATACTTATTAGTTATTATTTGTTTAGTATTATTATTATTATTGCTATTATTATTATTACTATTAAGATTATTTTCGTTATCATTTTTATTGAACCCTTTGGTTAGCTTTTTTACTTTGATTAGAGTTAGGATTTCTTCGTCACCTATAAATAGAGATGTAACCCTACTTAGAATAATTAATCAATAAACAATGTAGAGTATTACAAATCCTAATCTCTCCTTCTCTTTCAGTTTGCCAATTCTCTTCTCGTCTCAATCTTTCTTGTACTCTAGTCTTTATTTCTTGGAGGTTGAAGAACGCTTGGATTTTTTCTCTGATACAAGTTTGTATCATATGAAATATACCAAACATTGACTCGTGGGTCACTCACAAAGGGTGCGGCAAGATCTACCCTTTTTATGAGAAGTAATGTTTATATGGTTCCAAAATCTACATTTAAAAACATGAAAGTTCTATTTTGGTATATTTTCAATGTTTTAGTCTTACTTTAGTCTTTCTCCTTACTCTATTTACACATTAGACAAACACATATACTACATTTAGTGTCTGTGTTTGCCTGGTGTACAAATGCGGTACACCATTTTGGTGTACCTTTAGCTTTATTCTTATTATATTCATAGGTCGGATAAAAAGCAAATTTTTTCGTGGATCTAAGGTTCATATTTATTTTATGGATCTTTTACAAAAAATGATCACATATGAGCTCATGAAAAATGCAAGTAGGTTCATATTTTATAGGTAAATCTTGGGACTATGTAGGCATCACTCTCAAAAAAGGATAGAGGAAAATGCTAGGTGTATACCAAAAGTGTACCACAAACATTCTCCATCCCCTCCATCACCACAAAAAAAAGCAAGAAGAATTCAAAAAAAATAAAAAATAAAAATAAAATAAAATGAATGATAGAAAGGAGAGTGATGTACTTTTGGAGTACACATTTGATGTACCTCTAGCATATCCCAAAGATAGATGTTGCGGCACGCCTTGTGAGTGACCCACCGGTCCAAAACAAGGCTGGCATCATGTACAATGAATGCATGGGATATAAATGTGTCCACATTTATTTTAGTATTTGAAATCAAAGTTACAACCGTTATATTAAATAAATTGGATAATAGGACCAACCCATCAACGCTCAACTGCCATAGCCCAACCAACTTTTGTGCCTGCAATATAATTTGGTGTGCAAATAGTGTACCTTGAGATTATTAAAAAAATTATATTTTTGTTTTATTTCCTCGTTTCAAATTAATTTTTTCATTTTGATTATTAAAAACTAAAAAATTCTAGTTAAAATTTATGCAGAAAAGAAATACTCCCTCCGTCCCATAATGTCTTTCCCAGTTCATTTAAGGAAGTTTGACCGACTTTATTTTTAATTCAATTTATTTGATTGTAGGTGTAAAATTAAAAAATAAAATGTATATATTTAGAAACTACATCAGAAGTTCTACAAAACAAGTGGTGACAAGAATATATTATTTTATCAAATACCTAATGAAAATAGGTAAAAAAAATGATAAAAGTTTGGCCGTGTAAAAAGTGAGTGAGAAGAACATTCTAGGACAGATGAAGTAAATAATATAATCCATTCCATATTTTACTTTAAACGAAATGAAATATTTATTTTGGGACAAATGAAAAAAAATTTAGAATTCATTTTTTGATAGAAGTACTCCATCCAATCCATATTTTTCTTCATGTTTCAAAAATATACGGAGTACAAAATATCATCTCTTTTAAAATGATTTTATTTATAAATTAGTATAGAAATAAAAATATAAATTACGTTGTTCAAAACTACATCAAATATTTAAGAAATTAAGATGTCAACGCTATATTTTATTTTCTGAAATAATCAATGAAAATATTTTTACAAAAGGAATATTTTGTAGAGAATACAAAATAAGTTAGCGAGAGACTGCAGCACTAAAGAGAAAAAAATGATATGAGAGTGAGAGACTGTTATTTCATACTCTCTTTTAAGTTTTAACCAAAAAAGAATATTTTAAAAAATAGAAGTATTTGATTAAATTTTGTTCTAAAAAATAAAAATACTATGTAGCACATTTTCAAATATTTGAATTAGGTGGTGTTGGTGTATGACAATTTCTCAACGCAAGCTTTACAAATAAGAAAAATGCTAGGGGTACACCAAAGGTGTACTCTATTTGTCTCTCACCCCCTCCATCACCACAAAAAAGGCAAGAAACTAAAAAAAATTAAATAAATAAAAATAAAATAAAATTGAATGGTGGAGAAAGGGGTGTGAGACAAATGGGGTGCACCAAAAGTGGTAGGCTGACAAATTTTGTACCGAGTATGTAAAGTTCGGAAATACTTTTATATTAAGTATATTTGTCATATTTAATTTTTGTTGTTAAATTAGATAAATTATAGTCATCAATTAGATAAGGAATTAGAAATTACAATATTCCTTTTTTTAGTATGGCTTCGTTGTTTTAAAATGATTGTTTTTGAAGATTTGTCATATATCAATTTACCTCCTTTAAGTGATCTTTTAGTCGGGTCTGAGGAGACCATTGACTTTATCCTTTTTTATGAAATTTAAAATCACGAGTGATAAGACTTAAAAAAACCATTTTTTCTAGAGAAATTTACCTAAATAGGACTAAAACATAATGACTTTCCCAATATAGGGCCATATGTTTTTATTTCTTAATGTAGGACTTTTGGCCATTATCATGTAGTCATTATTCAAGTAAATGTCCATCATTACTGGACTTTATTATTCCCACTAGGTCATTATTAAGTCCTAGTTAGAGAATAAAAAAGTTTAAGTTCTACACTGGAAAAGTCATTATGTTTTAGTCATATGTGCAAATTTTACTTTTTTTCTAATCCTCGATCCCTAACATCCGCTATAAATAAACCGAAGAAAGAAATTCAACCCCCAAAAAAAGAAATCTCGTCCCCAAAAAATCCTCAATCCCTAACTTACAAACGCCGCCGCCGCCGCCGTCGAAATGCCGACGCCGAAGGAACTCATCGAACTGAACCGGGGGAGCTCCGAGGTACACACCGACCCGGAGGTGTGCAAGCAGAAGACGCTGGAGCTGCTCCGGGAGATCAACATGCCGTCGGGACTCCTCCCGCTGAAAGACATCGTCGAGGTCGGCCGGAACCGGGAGAACGGCTTCGTCTGGCTGCAACAGAAGAAGGAGACCTACCACGAGTTCAAGAAGATCGGGAAGAAGGTGTGGTACGACTCCGTGGTCACCGCCACCGTCGAGGACCGCCGGATGAAGGACGTCTCCGGCGTCAAATCCAAGGAGTTCCTCCTCTGGGTCGCCCTCTCCCTCATCACCGTCTCCAAAAAAGACGCCGAGAAAATCGTCTTTGCCACTCCGGCGGGGCTGGCCAAGTCTTATGCCGTGTCGGCTTTCGAGGGGGAGGAGGAGGAGAAGAAAGAAGAAGAAGAAATCAAGAATTGAACTAGTGGGGCAAATTAGGGAATAAAATAAATCTCAACCGTGCTACAGTGTTTCCGCCGTTGGCACGCGGCGTCCGCCGCCGTCTTTTTTAGCCTTCCCAATTTCCCACTTTATTTTCATCTTGTTCTGTTTCTTTTCTCTTCTTTTTTTTTCTTCAGAAAATTAAGTTTAAGGGGCGTGTTAGAGATACAGCCAAACACTCTCAGCTTCTAAAAGTTAATGTATTGTACTCTTGTGGTTCACTTCTTGATTAATGCTAAGTACTACCTCCCTCCTAGAGTATTTGTCCACTTTCATTTTTACATACCATCCAATACACTTCTTTAATCCATTTTATCTTGTAATTTGTATATTAAAAAATTATAGAAGTTATATATTAATAATCTATATGTTAAGACAAATCAAACAAGATCACACATGACTATATTTAAGCTTACACATTGAGAGAATTCGATGAGTCAAAGTGCTTAGATCAACAGTTCCAAAAGTCAAAACTGAACGAATACTCCGGGACGGAGGGAGTATTTTAAATAATCTTTGAATGATTCATATTAATGCTCATAAACATTTTTTAACTTAAAATTTGTTTATAAGTCAAATATGTTTTTCTCGAAGTAAAAATGACTTAAACGATATATAAGTCGTTTGAAAACATTCATAAATGGTGAGAGATAGTTTCATAAAAAAAACTTAATCAAAACCGAGAAACATAAAAAAATTGATGTAAAAATAAGTAGGTAAAAACTAGTTATTTTTCTAGCTTACAAAGTCTACCTATAAGTACATATAAATATGTCATAGTTAACTTATAACTTAACAATTTTAACCACAACTTATAATCTTTACCAAAATTCTAACTTTTTTGGCCTAGTAGTGGAAGAAATCCAACCTATCATGCCAAATTTTATTACAATATATGCATTTCTACAAAGTGATGTAGACTCATACCACATTTCTGAACCCAAATTTTCCCTGGTGAAAACACCCATTTTGGATCAACAATAGGACAATTCCCACACTTTATAACACTTTTCCCTCAATGCCAATGAACCGACTGCTTTGAACCCCGAGTGTTTTGTAGTCCCAAACAATTCCAGACACCTCATCTTGAGGCAAAGACAGAGATCTCCTCTTCACTGACTTGAGCAGCTCACAGAAGAACTTAGGGTCTTGCAGCCTGGCATACTCCTTCAACACCCTCTCGTGGTGCGGGGCCCATTTCCTCGGGAAGGGCGTGTAGTCGCACGGGGGGATGAAGGACATGCGGGAGAACTGAACCCCTTCAATGGTGTCAACCAGTCCCATCCTCAGGAGATCGGAGTACTCTGGCGCAGAGTTGTTCGTGTGTTCCCTCAATGAACGGCTCAGATCGCGCGAAGCAATCCCGTACACCTTGGCGCGCGACTTCAGCCTGTACCTCGCGGCGTATAGCTTAGCCAGGGAGCTACGGACGACATATGCGCAAAAGCCCACAACTTTTCTCCTGTTATCAGCGAACATATACCAGTCTGCGAGGGTTTCGAGTAACTTGTTCATTTGGGCATTGGTATGAGCTTGGCCTGAATAGAGCATTGGTGTGCAAGGGAGTGGCTCTGGATCTTTATCCCCCTTCACAAGTCTGAGTCGCCTGAACTGGCGAATGCATTGCTGCAAGCTGGCAGTGACTGAGAGAAGAGTCCCTACGCCTTTCTGGCTCACAACGGCCCCACCAGAAGCCGTGTAACGGAGGGTTGGGTATATAACGCGACGACAGATTATGTGATCCAAGAACTGAACCCCTCGGCTCACGTGCTCGATTTCAATCTTCGAATTGTCCAGTCTTATCCCATATTCGTTCTCGCAAAAGTCGATTATACCCTTGCGAATGCCCACGGCGTCCTGTCTGGACCCTCTAATGCCGATCAAGAAATGTCCTCCGAAACGGATGTAGTCCATCTTCTTGGTCCTTCCTTTCCCACGCGAAGGGACAAACTCGGGCCAAGATGGGTTGTGACACCCATCATCAATGGAGTGTCTCCAAATAGTGTCGTGCTCGCAAGGTCTAAAGAACTCGGCTATCTTCTCTTCCATCATACGATCCAGCTCGTTGAGACAAACATTTGCTAGCAACGGACTGAGAATCCCACAGTAACCATAGTTTGGTATCTTTGCAGCCTCTTCAGGAGAGAAATCATAGAAAGTCCTCAACCAATAAGGGTCTGGTTTCGGCTCATTGGCTTTCAATATTCTTTTCTTGGTCTTGAGTTTTTTCATCTTCTTCTTGTCCATCTTCTGCTCCTCCTGTTCATCTCTGGCTCGAATGCACGCAGAAGCCCTTAATCCGGACTTGATCAAGCTTGAAACTTTCTTATCTTTCAAGACTTTTCCCACACAACCCATCACTGCATTCGCATCGACACTGTCGAAAATTTCGCTGATGTCACCTCTCAAGAACCAGAGATAGCCCGCGAAGTTGCTCCTGATTGTCCGAATCACGGTATGGGGGTTCCTGCCAGGGCGAAAAGCGTGGGACTTAGGGGAGAAAATTGGCTCAAAAATCGGCTCAAGAATCATCAGAAGGGTTTCCTGAACTACCTGGTCCTGAAAAGGCGGGGCTTTGGAGGTGAGGAGTGAATCGAGCTGGCGGCGGGAGAGCGCCGAGACCGGCCTCTCGTTCGGGCCGCGAATCACGGGACGCGCCTTGTCGTTCCAGATGAAGTCGCCGGAAACAACCGCGTTCCGCAGGGAGAGGAGATCGGAGAGGACGCGGGTGTGGATCGCATTGCGGGGAGGGAAGGAGCCGGTGAAGTGGGCGCAGGTGCGCTGGTAGGCGAGGACCCAGAGATCGAGCTTGGAGAGGAAGCCGGCGAGGTTGGAGAAGGGCTTTCCCGGCTGGGAGAAGGTCTTGGCCCAGAGGTTGGAGAGGACTTCAATGGGGTCTTCCTTGAGGAGGCTATGTGGGTCTTGATGCAGCGGCGGGCCGGACCCCGCCGGCGGAAGGGAGTGGCGGCGTTTGAGGTGGAAGAGACGGGAAAATGAGCGGAGTGAAGTGGCGCCTGTAAGGTGTTTGGTTTTTGTTGTCAATGACATTTCTCACGGAGGACGCCAAAAACTCTTTGCAGTTCAGTTGTACTCGACAGTGTCAAAGAGTCAAATTTTCTCAATAGAGTAAACAATATATAGTCCTCCAAGTGTCTATTTCCTCTAAATAAATTTTAAACTCTCTCTTTTATTTTTTCAATATTTTTATGAAATTTTATGAAATCAAATCTCGACGATTAATTCATGAAGGGGAGAGTATAATACCGAGTTAAATTAATATAGGCTTTGTTCGGTAATACCAATTTTAATTATCTTTAATATTTTAGATAAAATTTTAATAGTGTAAATCAAATAAGAAAATACTTACGCATTGTTAGGAGCTTTGTGTTTTTTATTTTAAAAAATAAGAGTAGAATGCAAATAATGCACATATTTAGTACAAAAAAACCGTAAGGATGCCACAATACAATGTATAATGTGACATTGCAACTTCATATTTTAAAGATAAAAACATAAACTTATATTTTGAAGATAAATATTATGTTTTATTCCTATTTGAAGTGATTTTTTTCAAATGTATCAATTCATGTTTCAACCCAACATAGTTTCACAAATGAAAGATATTTCACTAGAATGGCTAACTTGATTAACGACTTTTAGCCGTATAAACTAAATCAACGATATGAACCAATTAGACTCGCGAGTGCATTTAGGGACCAAAATGGGTATATTTTTGATAGAATAATTTTAGTATATACAGAGTATAATGTTGGTTATATAGTGATTTGAAAAATAGTACTGTTGTCCGTATTGCTCATGCCAGACTTATTAAATTAAAAAAATGCAAGCAAATAAAATGTAAACTATTTCTATTATAATTCCTTAATTTTGTTTTTAACTTTTGATTATCAGTTTATCACCAACTTTACAAAGAGCCCAACCCGCTAACTCTGAGCTTTGCACAGCGCCCACTTTAACCATTGGAAAAGGCCCATTCTGATAAGCTTTGCAAAACTTAATTTTAGGAAAAGGCCCATTCTAAATTTCATATCTTTAAACAAAATACTCCATCCGTCCTGAAATATTCTTCCCACTTACTATTTACATGTTCAAACTTTAATTACTTTCTTTACCTATTTTCATTAGGTATTTGATAAAATAATAGTGTTAAATATATTCTTAGTATATTTAATATTCATGTGTATTGGTAGCTACCATAATTGTATAGGGTGCATTTAATATTGTTTCCTATTATCATTAGAAAACCTTTGTATATATACACATGTAATCTCCCATAATAATTTATGTGAAAATATTTCTTCATGGTATCAGAGCAACCCTAATTCTCAGCCTCCCGTCTCCTCCCTCTCTCTCTCTCTCGATCGGCAAATCCCCAACTCCCCTACCGTCGATCCTCTCTCTCTCGGCAGTCATGGCCGACGCCAACTCCGCCAAGGTGATCTCAACCTCCGAAAACTCCTCTTCCAACAACTCCCCCCATCTCGCCTTCACAACTATATCCAACATCAAACTCCATATTCATGTTCAACTCAGTCTCTCAGAACCAAACTACAAAAAGTGGAGTCGATTATTTCGTCTCTTGATCCTCCGGTTCAACCTCAAGGGCTACATCGATGGCACAACCATCGCATCCTCCGCGGACGATGCCGAATGGTATCAATTTGATGCTCTCATCCAAGGATGGATCCTGTCTACGATCACGGATGAAGTCTCCGACCTTGTGCTCGCCAACAATGTCTCCGCTCATGCACTATGGATGACAATTTACAATCTTTTTCATGACAACAAGCATGCCCGGGCGATGCAACTGGAGCACCGTTTCCGTACAACCGTGAAGGGCCACCTCTCCATCAACGAATATTGTCGTCTTCTCAAGAATCTCTCCGAGTATCTCGACGATGTGGATGCCCCGGTCACCGAACATGCTCTTGTGCTCCAGGTTCTTCAACGCCTCCCTCACGACATCCAGGGTCAAGTACAGTTTTTGCAATATCAAAATCCACTCCCGACGTTCTTAGAAGTTCGGTCCACCTTGCTCCTCGTTGAACAGCAACAAACTGACGCCGTATATGGCGCCGGAGCGCCGTCCCTGCCCTCCTCAACACCGGCGGCGGCGGCAGACACACGGGCAGTGGACACCAGCAAGACCGAGGCGGCAGCTATGGCAAATCTGGGAGCAGCGGCAACAGCGGCTTTGGTGACGGATTTGGTGGCGGCTCCGGCGGACGCGGCAGGAACTCTGACGGTGGCAGTAGAGGTGGCAACCGTGGCAGGGGTCGTGGCGGCGGCAGCAACTCACAGCACCCCTCTGGCTACATTCCCTGGACAGTCCCCTCCCCTAACCCAGGGTTACTTGGGACACGGCCCAACACCCTCCACCCCCTANCACCCCACCCAACCCCACCGCCCTAGCCCACAGCCTCGAAAACCTCACCCTTACCCCCACCCAACCCCACTGGTTCATGGATACCGGAGCTTCCCATCACATCACTTCTGACCCAGGTACTTTATCTCATGTATTTACTTCAAGCATTAATTCTTCTTCGCATATTATTGTCGGTAATGGTTCTAAAGTGAGCACTAGTGGTTTTGGTAAGAGCACCCTTCCCACATGCCCTCCCCTCACCCTGAACAATGTTTTAATCTCCTCATACATCATCCATAATCTCATATCTGTTTGACAATTTGCTCGTGATAATAATTGCACCATTGAATTTAACTCTTGTGGTTTCTCTGTTAAGGACAAATTGACGGGAGCCGTGATTCATCGATCCAATAGTGATGGACCCCTCTACCCTATCTTGTCACAACTTTTGATGTAGTTTTTAAATATATAAATTTTATTTTTTAATTTTACACCTACAATCAAATAAATTGAATTAAAAATAAAATCGATCAAACTTCGTAAACAGAATCGGGAAGAACATTATAGGACGGAGGGAGTATCAAATTAGAACGAATAAAAATAAAAAGTTTACTTCAGGATATGATTTTTTAAGCATATGTTATTTCTATTTTGAGCATAAAATTCTATTTTGAGATAACAGAAATATGTTATTTCTGTTTTGAGCATAAAATTACTCCGGATGTTTTATTCCTATTTTGATTGATTTCTTTCAAAACAGTTTATTAAAGGGAAATTTACGTAAATAACACTAAAGAATCACATGTGTTTTTCTTCCCAATGTAGCACTTTTAGTCATTATGCATTAGTCATTATTCAAGTAAATATTTGCCATCATTGGACATTATGGGCATTATTAAGTGCTATTTAGGGAATAAAACAATTTAAATGTTATTTAGGAAAATGACTTAAGTTTTAGTGCTATTTAGTGCAAATATTTCTTTATTAAATTATAGTTGCATTCAATTCCTAAGAATTTGATGTAAAATTAAATGAAAAATTAGTAGTATATTAAAGAGAAATTTATATAAATAGGACTAAAACATAATGACTTTTCCAATATAGGACCATATATTTTTATTTTCCAATGTAAGACCTTTGTCATTATCAATTAGTCATTATTCAAGTAAATATCTATCATTATTGGACATTATTCTTTCCACTAGACATTATTAAGTCTAATTTAGGAAATAAAAAAGTTTAAGTCTTACATTAGAAAATGATTTATGTTTTAGTCCCATTTAATGCAAATTTTGCTATATTAAAACATCAATTTAAAAAATGATATAATCATACTTCGATCTTATTTGGGAATAGCATTTTTTATTGGCATTAGCCATTAGCGTATTGGATAAAATTTTAAAGGTGTACATTAATTCTGAAAACGCTAACGCTAAAAGCTACAGCTGAGTAGCTTTTTCAAAACGCTAACGCTACTGACAAACAAAACCTGTATAACTTTAAGAAAAATCAATATACACATATGCACGAAAAATGAAGATATAACATGATGCATGGGTGATAATGAATTTGAATTGCTACCATATACCTCATCTTCTCTAAATGAATACAAATTCAAATGAATGGCCACTCAAAGAAATTTTCAAGAAAGTTAAAAGAAAATGACACTTATAGCCCGGAGAGATATGGTGACGTGTCTAGCTAGGGTTTCGTCCTCCGGGAATAGGAAAGGTGACAGAAGAAGGCGACGGAGTTCGGGTAGTCGTTATGGCACGGCGACGAACCTGACGGCGGCACAAAACTCTTGGGAACCATATTCGCCCTGTACACCCTCTCCCCCGCCGCCGCCGTAGTAGTTGACGGAACCTCGTTAACGCCGTGATTATTGTTCTTCTTTGTCTTCTTATCGTTATTCTTCTCCGGCCCGATCATATTTCTTCTCTTGCTCTGGGTCTTCTTGATCAAGAACCTTGAAGCTTCTGACCCTTTGGCCGGGAGGTGGGTTTCGTCGCCGGCGGAGCTGTTGTGACGGTGGAGGGAGTCATCGGCGGCGGCAGAAGAAGAAGCATTGGATGAGATGACGGCAAGAAGAAGGAGCACAAGGAGAGCAATGAAAAGAGCTTTCATGAATTTCATCATCATATCAATTTCTTGAGAGAGAAAGAGAGAGAGAGAAGATTTGTTGATGTGCATTAAAGACGATGGAGTCAAGAAATGAGTTGAGAAGTTTCGATTGGGGGATATATTTATTGGTTTTAGTGCATGAACAAATCCGGGTTTGAATGTACCTTGGTTTTTTAGATTAAAAAAAAACTCCCCCTTTTTCCAAATACTCCGGGTAAGTTAATTAGGGAAGAGATAAAGTAATTTTTTGAATATACATTTCACATCATAGATATTGTGATGTAATTTTTTAAATATTTTATTTTTATTTTTATTTTTTATTCCCTCCATCAGAAAATTAGTTTCTCGTTGCGCGTTACGAAGTTTGACTGAAGTTATTTTTAAATCATTTTATAAAAAAATGGCGTGGAATTAAAAAATAAAATTACATATTTAAAAATTACATCAAAATGTCTATATTAATTAATCAAATAGACAATAGAAATAAGCCAACAAAAGGAATAAAGTTTGACTCTGCGAATCATAAATGAGAAGATAATTTTTGAACAAAGGGAGTATCAATATTTAAATAAAATAAATCTAAAAATTGAGATTTTGACTCATTTTGGTTTCTATTTAAGTCAGTTTGGGGCGGAGGAGTATTTAAAAATTGTTATTGAAATTAAAAAAATGAAATTAATACTACTTCAGTCCGTAAGTATTTAATTGTCTAATTTTAACTTTTTACAGTCAACTAAATTAATCTTTGACATATAATTACATATAACTACTCGCACATGGTATAATATAGTATTAATTTGTATATATAAAACAATAATATCCAAATAGTATTTTAGAAGATAGATTTGCAAAAATAGTTCTTGTATGAATATATCTAATAAGGAATATAAATTTAATTTAATTAATGGTCAAAATTTTCTCAATTTTAAATGTAAAAAAATCAAAACTAGACAAATATTCAAGGATGGAGGTAGAAAATTATAGTGGAAGGATGGAATATCATAGACAAGAAATTCTTATGTGATCCTTAGATCGATGTTGATTTTATTGACCTTAATGCATTGATATAATTAAAGAAATGAGCCTTTTACAGAAATGAAAAGATCTTTTTGTCGGTCTATAAAAAGTGTAAGAAAGTTCACATTTTTATACATGAATCTTATGAGGTTAAAATCCACAATTGGTCCTTCAACTTTATGAGTTGTGCACGATTGGTCCTTCATGTTTCAAAAGTCCATAAATAGTCCTTCAACTTTATGAGTTCTGCACCATTGGTCCTTCAAGTTTCAAAAATCCATAAGTAGTCCTTCAGGTTCACGTCAGCCCTCCAGATGAAGTCATTTTAACAGTAAATATTAAAAGTTAAACGAAATACTAGTTTAATATAATACGATTAAATTGCACTAGGTACGACTACTCCGTATTATATGGAGCTAATATTCCATTTAGCTTTTAACATTTACTGTCAAAAGGACCTCATCTAGAGGGTTGACGTGTACTTGAAGGACTACTTATGCACTTTTAAAACTTGAAGGACCAATCGTGCCTAACTCATAAAGTTGAAGGACTATTTATGGACTTTTAAAATTTGAAGAACCAATCGTACACAATTGATAAAGTTAAAGGACTAATGGTGGAGTTTAGCCATCTTATGATCATGAAAAAACAATTCATCATAGAATGATACAAATATGAGGATGTATATACAACAAATCTCGTTCAATATAATCAAGCAAATGAGACGTAATTTTGAAACGAACGAGAAAAACATGAAGGGATTGGGAAACACGAGAGAGTGCACAAAGTATAATATTGCCAATTTAGTGAGAGAACATGAGCAATCAATTGAGTAGAAAAGAGTAACCCAATGAGTTGAACTCACAAACAATAGGGAATATGAAAGAAAATATGTTGCATGCCCTCGTGGCCATGTCGTCCACACTTCATGCATATATGGTGTTTAATTACTTCAAAGTTCTTCTTCTAATAGTAAATTGTAGTTAAAATTTGTGAGCTTGATTAGAGGGAGAAAAATAAGGTCAAGGTATGAAGTAATTAAGAAGACTGGAAAATATGATTTGTTGTTTTCAAAAAATATCATGCATCTTCAATCGCATAGTTGAACGTACTTTTAGTTCAATTAGAATGGACTAAACAACACATCAACGCCACATGAGTTTGTTTATTGACCTAACAACTTAGGCAATCCAAAATACTCTTTCTAGCTTAAGGTAAAACGATGACAATTAAAATCAAATCAAGGCCGTCACCATATAGTGCCTCAGTCCCGAAAAACTTTTTCGGTTTTGACTTTTAGAAAAAAAGATATAGATGTTTGATTAAGGTGAAACGATGACAATTAAAACAAGTTGGGCTCAGGAAATATCAAAACAGGTTGAGCGTAGACGTTAGTTGAGGTACGTTCGGTTAGATTGAAAAAAAGTAAGGGCAATTGTGTCCATTTAGACAAAATTGAAATGTTTTATGGGACGGAAAAGAAGTGAGAGTTGAAATGTTTTAAGGGACGGAAGGAGTATAATACTACCTATGTCCCAAAGTATTTGTCTAGTTTAATTTTGACTTTTTCCAACCAACCGTTTTCAACTTTTGATCTATAATTGAAAAAAATATGTATTGTATATTTACTAGATAAAATAGGATTTTGAAAATATTTTATATATAAATCAATTAAAATTATTTTTCTATCAATATCTAATACTCCCTCCGTCCCCAATTTGATTACAAATTGCGGGTTACGGAGTAAAATTTCCTACTTTTTGAAACCAATTTATTTACAAATTGGTATATCAATAAGATATAAAAATTAAATATTAAAAAACTACGTCAAAAGTTCTACAAAACAAGAGGTAACAATAATATTTTATTTTATCAAATACTTAATGAAATCGCATAAACAAACAAAAGTTATCGAGATGAGAGAGAAAAATTTGTAATTTATTTAGGGACGGAGGAAGTATTATTTTTTTAATTTGAGGTCAAAGTTTACCAAATTTAACCGAAAAGAATCAAAAGTAGACAAATACTCCAGGACGGAGAAAGCAAGAAAATAATAAAGCACAATAAATTAAAATAGTTCATTTAAAAAAGATAAACGTTCATTAAGAGCACAATCAAATAGTTTGCCACAAAAACAAATTTGGTCGGGTTCCCATGACATTGGAATACCATGTCATGGGATTACCCCAGAAGTGCTTCGGTGCCACGTTCGTAAAATTGACGGTTCCTACCCCCAACCCCATAGTCAAAATTGACTTGTGGGGTGCAATTGAAAGGTGTATGGGTGTGTTCGGGTCGGGTCGGGGCTGGGGTTTACCGGGGTGTTAGAGGAAAAGGAACCGTCAATTTTATGAATAGGGCACCAGAGCGCCATCGGGTCATCCCATGATATTGTCGGAAAATGTCATGGGAACCGTTCCGAAACAAATTACTCAATTTAATTATTTCAAGTAAACCAATCTCATTTGATCGAACTTTTCTTCATTCTTTAACTTTTTTAAGATAATGATGCATTAAATTAAAGAGGAAGTCTAGAGTTACACCATCTCAAATAGTGTAACTCCGTAACACCATTTCAATCGGGGAACCTATGGTGATGCATTCGTAAAATTGCTGGTTCATACCTCTTCTAACCATCCTCGTAAACCCCCCACCCCTTACCTCACCCCAGACGCGGTGAGATGGCGGCCTTCTGCCAATCAAGTCGGTCGGTAATGGCAGTGGTTGCCGAAGCTCCTTTAAATGGGCGCGACTTGGACAAATGAAACACGGGGTGTATAGGCTACGACCCGAATTCTTTCTAACACTTCATACATATGACCCATAAAAGCGGAGAGCCAGCTTCTGTGACGAACACCGAACTACGGAATGCTGATGCTACGGTTGTAGCCGTAAGAGCACCAAGTCACCAACGTAAAATTCCACATCTCAATGACTGTCACCACGCTGATATGGTACCATGTTAGGTGGTGGACGGTCATAAATCACCTGAAAAGGAGTCATCTGCGTGCCATTATGAAAGCTTGTATTCACTGAATATTCAGCCCAAGTGTTAAAGATCATTTCACATCGGAAAAGTAGTATGAGGAAACTAATCGATATATAAACTCTTGAGTTGAACTAACTAATCGATTGATTCAATCTTTTAATGTGGTTCAACCCAAGTGTCTTATTACCCAATTCAGTTCACTACAAGAAAACTGTCAATTTTCCACGGACAATTTCTGTTGCAGAATTTGAAATTTCGTGGCAGATTGCTAATCTGCGACAGAACTGCAACGAACATTTTCCGTCGCAGAAAAGTTGTGACAGATTGAAAATCACCTCAATTTCACAAAATTAAACTAAGTTTTACCTAAACTCACAATAAACATCAAATTTACTAACACAATTTTAACTAAAATTACACGACCATCAATTTCACCAAAAAGTAGTGCAATTTTTACCCAATTTTAAGTCAATTTCATCTCATATTCACACAATTTTAAGTAAATTTCACCAAAAATGCACTCAATTTCACACAAAGAAATTCAATTTCACCAAAAATTAAATTAAACAAAAATAACATCACCGCAAAGAGGAAGAGGAGGTCACCCGCTGGCGTCGCTGGGGAGGACGCCGCCGCTGGCGACGCTGGGGAAGACGGTGTGGCTGGCGCGGCTGGGCGGGACGATGGGTGGAGGGTCCGGCGTGGCTGGCGAGGATGTTCATCGGCGGAGAGGACGGTCGTTGAAGGCTGGCGGAGGGGTGGCGTTCGCAGGACGGCGGAGGGGGAGAGAGAATCGGGATAGGGTTGAACTGAAGGATGAATGGATGGGAAATTTTGACTCTCGTTTTTTACTTTAAACCTGCGACGGATCTGCGACGGGTGTAAGGTTCCGTCGCAGATTTTCAGATCAAAATTTGACCACCTTATATTTGCGACGGTACCAAATACTTCGTCGCTGATTTGCGACGGAAAATTTAAATTCGTCGCAGATTATGCTTGTTTTTTGAGGAATACAATTCCGTCGCGGATTCGTTGCAGATCTGCTACGAACTTAATTCCGTAGCAGATATCCGTTGCAGACCAGACAAATTCTTGTAGTGGTTGTTCATACCCATCCTAAATTCTATCATGGTATCGGAGCAGGTTTTGCCCACCTCGTTTGTCAAGGTGTCCGTCTAGACGTTCATTCCTATGGCTTGTGGAGTATGTACCCAACGGCATGTGGCCCGTTTAACACGGTTGCTCGTCTAGAAGTCCATACTCAGCGGCTCGTGGTCCTTTAGGTGTTGCGCTAAAAAAAAAGAAAATCAAGGGAATGAGAGTTCATTTGCAAGTGGTTAACTGGTTAGATTCAAAATAGCTCGGTTGTCCACTTGATGGGAAGTGTTAAAGAACATCCCACATCAGAAAAGTGTGAGGAAATTAATCGATATATAAGCTCTTGAGTTAAAACTAACTAATCGATTGAATTCAATATTTTAATGTGGTTCAACCGAAGTATCTTATTACCCAATTGAGTTGTCCATACCCATCCCAAATTCTATCACCAAGGGAGGAAGATTGTCCAACGTTTGGGTTTGTCGTGCACGAATGCTCGCAAATATTGTTCCAACGTACGATTGGTGACCTTAGTTTGGTCGTCATTTTGGGGTGGAAGGTGTTACTATGCTTCAATGTCATCCCGCTTAAGGCATGCAGCCCTGCACGCCAATATGTACTGAGAAAGATCTTGTACCTATCGGAGACGATATTACAAGGAAAGCGCAGTCATGCAACTTATTGAAAGTTTAACTACCCAAAGTGAACAACCTGTAGAGTCTAAATCCATGAAAGTTGTTATAGAGGATGCTATAGCATTGACATAATCTAAGTTGCCAGATAGAGTGCTATACTAACCTCTACATCACAAAACACACACACAGAAACAAATAGAGCAACAAACACAACACGCAATTTTTTTATGCAGTTCGTAGCAAATTCTTCTACATCTACGAGGCCCACGTCAGTGTAACAGCCTTCCCACGATATCACTGTAGAGTTTACACCCTCAATAACAATAAACTCGATCTAAGTATTGATCTAAAGTCTATAATATAATGGGAATGCAACAAAGTCAGTTTTTGCATGCATGCCAAGACTGAAACACTTATCAACTTATCTACGACGTGCCACTAGCCTAAGAACAACAGTATAACTCAGTTCAACTTCTGGAACGCTCTATAATCATTCAGTGTAAGCATCCTTCAGCAATCCATCGGTGTGATGATGATAATAACAGATCGGTAGAAGCTCGTAGTGTTAAGATCTCTTCTCTCTCTCTCGCTTGCTGACTCTCTATATTTTCTGCACACGAGAGAGTAGGTCAGGCGTATATTTATACTTCTTCTAAGGAGTTTCCATCCCTAGTAGAGTCCTTGCGTGATTTCATTTCAACGCATAACTATCCACACTTAATAAGAGTTTGTAGCTAGTGAGAACTCCTTTAGAAACCAAGATTCCATCATGCACCAGCTAGGGCAATTTATCAACTCGGTCCAGACTCCTCAAAGTAGGTAAGAATGACAACCCAGACTCAACTGGACTAGTAGGGTGGTGGACAGGACGCTACAGCTCTATGAACCACACGGCTAAAACAACACCCAAGAAACTACTATTTATGAACTCATAGATTTTGTCAAAAATAAGGCCAACACTAAAGTTATACACACACCAAGGGAACGAACACTTAAACTACCATATTAGTGAATAAGTATGTTGTGTGGTGGGTGCCAAAATCACACGGTAATGGCCCAAATTGGGCATATTTAGTGAGGTGGTCCACCACCACGAAAATAACCGACGATCCCTGGCAACCTCGTAATAAAATCCATACTAATATCCTCCCAAACTTTTTGTGCAATAGGCCGCGGGAGGTTATGGGGAGAAATTAGCTGCCTAGAAGGTGGGGCAGGCCGTGACATATGCTCGGACGTCGGCTCACATATGTGGCCAATAAAAAGCGGCGGCGAGCCAATGAAAGGTGCGCTGGAATTGGGCATGATTGATTCAAGTACTCCATCTTGAGTGAGAGTATTAGAATCTAGAATATTCAATGACAATTCAAGATGTAATATACTCCCTCCGTCACTAAATAAACTTCTTTTTTTGACTTTTTGAGAATTTAAGGAGGGATATTTTTGTGTTGACTTTCCAAAAATACCCTTGATGTGATGTGTAAAAGTAAGATCTGATATATAGATTATTAGTAAAAAGGTATGATGTGATAGATAGGGTATGAAAAAGTAAGGGGTAAAAGGGGTTTTTTAAGAGAAAAGAGAAGTTTATTTGGGGACAAAGAAAAAACGAAAGGAAAGTTTATTTAGGGACGGAGGGAGTAGTTCTTGGTAAGTTTTTATATAGTTAGAGTTTGTATTAGAGTAAGTTACCAAATAAAAAGAGTAAGTTACTCTTGTGTAATTTTCCCAAGTCCTTGATGGTGGGAAAAAAATTATTGAAAAAAAATAAATATAGCAGGTTTTAATTTACTCTGATCTCCAATTCATGGAAACCCATAAACGTCCTTCTTTCAATAAACAAAAAGAAAATGAAATAGTGAAGAGATTAACATTTCCTTAAAAATGTCAAAGCTCTCTCTCAGTTGACTATACAAATTGAATTGAATATTTTAAATTAATTTTGAAGGCCACATTTTATATATACAATTACATATTTGAAGGCTCTTCAGAAATGAAATACAAATGATCTCCATCTCTGATGACACTTAAGTCATCAATTTCGGCATTCTCTGAACTCACAACTTTGGTAATGCCCCGGACTTCAAACTCATGATCTGCAAAAACAAGTTTAGGGCATGTGACAAGGACAATAACATAATTATAAGATCTTAATTACGGAGTATTATTATTATTATTGTTATTGTTATTATTATTATTATTATTATTATTATTATTATTATTATTACTCGGTACTATTGTTTTTATTATTATTACTGCGTATTATTACTAGGTTAAGGAGTATAGTCATTTTAAGCAAGGTGTTTGATGTGAGACTTTATTCTTGACATCTCCCTCAAATTTGTTGGGTATAATCTACATCCTTAGTTTGAGACTTTTTGGAAGTGCCCAAAAACAAATATATGATCGTATACACCCCAACAAATGTTATTAAGATCTTTTTGTTAAAGACTTGGATTTCTCTTTGAGCTTATAAGTTCCGTTCTCTTAAGCTATTTTTTTTCTATTTATTACATATCCTTATTAGAATCAAATTAAATAAGGTCAAGTAATTAATTTATAGCTTTAAATTATACGGAGTACTACAAATATATCATTCCAGATCAGATCTTAAAAAGTTCAGATTATAACCAATCAGATCAATAAGAAACCAAAGCGCAAGTCTTAGGGCTAATTAATACTCCCTCCGTTCCACAAAACCGTTCCGGTTTTGACTTTGGGAAAAAATAAGAAAAGCGTAATTTTGGTTGACTTTCCAATTTTGCCCTTGATGTGATGGGAAAAAGTAAGACGTGATAGTTTGGTTATTAGTGAAAAAGTATGATGTGATAGGTAGGGTATGAAAAAGTAGGGGTAAAAGTGGTTTTTTAATAGAAAGTGGAAGTGTTTTGTGGAAAACAAAAAAAACGAAATAGGAAGAGTTTTGTGGAACGGAGGGAGTATCATGCAGAATTATGAAATTTATCCCAAGGCCAACTAGTAATGGAAGGATGCATTCATATTGTTATCATTTAGTCATTTTTTGCTGGAGTGTCTAATGGGAGACTTCATATCCTTCACAAGGGGTGTCTTATAATTCTCCGAAGAAAAAAAAAATCACTTTCAAGTTTCAAGGATACTTGGAAACCCCAAATTGCAACATGCATATATGTAAAATAAATAAAGACTTACGTGCTAATGAGAAGAGCTCTTCCCAAGAATTAGGTAGAGTAATTAGCTTCTCGAACTCGAGACATGAACCATTGTCGTCCTTAACCATGGCATGAATGGTGACGCTCTTCATCCATTTTTCCGTTTCTGGCATGGTCTGGTAACTACTACTACCGTTATTGCCACTGGAATTTGTGCAAGTAGGCCGTTTAATTCCCGGGAAGAAGTTGGAAGAAAATGGATGGGCATGTATCTTAGGCCTTGGATAAAAAGTACTAATGTTGTTGTTGGCAATAGTTGTATTTGCAAGACCATGAAATCTGTCCATGCTGTGGTTTTCTTGTTTGGTCTTGTCTTCAAAACATGATGAAAACTCTTCATAAAAGGCTAAGTTTGGGTCCTTTTCCTTGTCCTCACAACGAAAATCTCCAAACGTTTGTTGCTTCTGTTATATATCAAGAAATCAACTCAACAAAAAAAAACGTACTCAAGCTTACAGTTATGGCTGGATAGATTTTTATATTCAAACACGTCGCCTAGATTTAATTACCTGTAAGAGATTGTTCATGATGACGTTCTCATCTTGTGGATTAGCATGAAGAATGGACACCAAAGATGCACGGTTCAGTCGCAATATCTGACAAATCTCGACCGTCCGAACCGCATATGGCTGGGCTCGTCCAAACAAAACGCCTATTTCTCCAAATACTTCTCCCGCACTCGCTTTTCCAAACACCTGCATTACGCACATATGTGTCTAGGGAGTAAAGACTTTGGCTCCGTTGTGTGCACAGAATTCAAGTCATAGAATTAGAATTGGGGACTGCAATTCTAATTTTGCTATTTGGTTGTACAAAAATACGTGGATTTGGAATTAATAATACAAAAAATAAATTGGAATTGGAGAACTCAATTTCATGCAATTCAATTCTATAGAATTTTAATTCCAATTCAATTCGAATTCCATCAATTCCGTGTACCAAATGAATCCTTAGGGTCCGTTTGGTATACGGAATTGATGGAAATGGAATTGAATTGGAATTAGAATTCCATAGGATTCAATTCCATAAAATTGAATTCACCAATTCCAATTCATTTTTTGCACTATCTATTTCAAATCCACATAATTTTTGTGCTACCAAACACCAGAATTGGAATTGAAGTCCTCAATTCCAATTCCATAGTTTGAATTTCGTGTACCAAACGGAGCCTTAGTTGCTTTATATATGCAGAATTGAAGCACACCTACAATATAGAGGGAGGAGGGAGCTCGTTAATTACTTACTTCTTCATGTCCATCAATGTTTAGTCTCAATTCCTGCACTAGAAAAAAAAACATCCTTAGCTTATTAAGAGGAACAGTAAATATTTGAGTGTTTTACTATAAGGTGATGGTAAAATCCACACTTGATTTGGCTAAATTCATTTTTGATTATGAACTAATAAGAAAGGGACAACTTTACCCTTCACTCCTTTCCTTTCTTTTTAAAATATTTAAGGGTGCATTTGTCTATATAAATGCGCAGGATTGAGCCAAATGAGTGGTGGGGTTTTAACCATAGTCATAATTATATTGCAAGCATGTTAATTAATTAATTTATAGACAAGAAAGAGTTAATGGATAATTACTCTTTAAGAAATTTACCACGGTGCCAGAGACGATTATATACATGTCCGTTGGAGGCTCGTTCTGCAACATAACGTCCTCCTTAGGGGGGAAATATTCTGCCTCCATTTCGGAAACCTTTAAATTTTTGCATGACAAAATATGAAAAACCATCGAGTTTTAATACTATATATACCAGGGTCGTAAATAACGCTCAGATACCATGTCAAAAAACAACTCAGCCAAAAGCGGATCAAGCATGCGTGCGTACCAGTTGGAAGAGGAAATGGGGAGAAACGGCCCGAAAGAGGAGAAGGGATTGGAGGACGGGGAAGAAGAGGTGGCGGGAGATGCTCGACCGGATCGCCTTTGGCAACACACCCAAAGTCTCTACCTGTTTCACCCCTTCAGTTTTGAACTTGAGACATATGTGAGACAATATCTGGTCTCGTAATCTGCTCGGTATCAGGTTCCGCTTTGAAAACTCAGAAGCCGCTTTCACTCTATCCCTCTGCTTAAACAAAATTAAGAAGCAAATCATGTCTTCACTTTGATTTTATATGCATTTATATTACCATACATTATCAAAAAATACAGTCACATTACCACGATGTAAAATTTTATTTTGGTGATGATTTCTTATAAACATTAAAGAAATTTGAAATCGTGAAAGTGCCATTCGTATTGAGATGGTGGTAGTATAAATATTTTCCATCACTATTTCCTTGAGAAATTTACCTAAATAAGACTAAAACATAATGACTTTCCTAATATAGGACCATATGTTTTTATTTCCCAGTGTAGAACCTTTGGTCATTATCAAGTAGTCATTATTCAACTAAATGTCCATCATCACTGGACATTATTTCTTCTACTAAGTCATTATTAAGTCCTATTTAGAGAATAAAAAAGTTTAAATCCTATATTAAGAAAGTCATTATGTTTTAATCCTATTTAGTGCAAATTTCACTATTTCCTTTTCATCTCTTTTATCAAATAGTTGTATAAATAGCTTTTCTTTTTACTCCCTATATATGTACACACACAAAAATCTTTCCAATATGACTTTTTTAGTCAAATTTTTAAAACTTTGACTGCAAATTACGAAAAAGTATTTTGAATTATGATATAAATTTAATATCAATATATAAATTTTGAAACATGATTTTTAAACTCATTAAAATATTGAACACAATCGATCATATAGTTTAACTCAAGAGTTTAAACCAGTTTATTTTCTCTTCAAGTTCTGATGTGGGACTCTAATAATATTTTACAAGATAAATTTAATAAAATTATTTTTGATTGAATATTTAATATACTTTTTATTTAAATAATAATTCAAAATTTTCGACTTTGATTATAAAAATTAAAATTTGTCAAATACTTTGGGTGGGAGGTGGTATAAAATAAGTTGGGCCGCCCACCAATCCACCATACTTTACGGTTCTCTATCACGATTGAAATGGAATGGCACAAAAAATGGCATGTTTCCCCTATTTAGCCCAAAAAAATTGCACACCAATTAATCATTTATTAATTCAAGAATATATATTGGTTTAATAAACAATTTTTTTTAGTGTGAAAAAAATAATTTATCAAACAAATATTTATTCTTGAATCATAAAAATAACTTATGTAAAACAAAAATTAATCAGATGAAAAAGAAAAACTTACAAAACTTTTGGTGCGGCTGGTCCAATGAACAACGAGGTTAGTCATGTTTCCAATGATATAAGACGTCAATCCTAAGTTGAACAACATGTAGAAGATATCAAAGAGCATTTCTCTTGTGTTCTCAGCATGTAAGTCTCCATACCCAGTTGTTGTTAGTGTTACAATTGACCAATACATTGCTGTTACATATCTCACCCATACCCTCTCCTCCCGAAAGTTCGGGTACACCGCTCCAATCCACGTCCTCTTCGGGTCCGGGTATCGTTCCGCTATCATGTAGTTGACGCATCCCGCGCAATGCACCGCAAACAACGTCACCTGCGTGCATTTATTTCGTTTTCGATTCAAAGATCAGTACGTGAAATATTACACTCTCCGTCCCAAAAATTCTCATTATATTGACTTTTTCACAAATTTAAATAAAGAGAGTATAAATTTTGTAGTTGACTTTCCCATATTGCCCTTTCCTTTTTAGAGTGGATCGGAGATATGATGTGATTAGTAGATTAGAAGGGAGTATACTGTAATTGTGCAACTTACGGAGATGAGCTTTGTACAACGGGTCCAGAAATAGCTAAACCATATATCCTTCTCAAGTCTGAAGAAAAGTAAAGGGACTTAAATGACTAAGTAAGGTAATTAAGATACTTGGAGAACAATAATGCTATATTATATTGTCAACAAACTTTGATATCAAATTCAGACATGATGTGTTTCACAGACATGCATAAATAGTGATTATATATATGGCCAAATACACATTTTTTGTCTGTTTATACTTGTGAAAGACATGATGTCAAACTTCCACGTCAAACACTTGTGTTAAAGTGGATTTACAAACAAAACAATAAAGGTTCAAGAGATGGTTAATTAACTACTGACCTTGCAAATAGAGCGCTGACGTGGCGCAAACGCCATAGCCGAAGCATGCTTAGCAGCTTGAAGCCGAGCCCGCCCCTTGTCTCGTGATCGGTGAAATGGAGGCTGAGAGCTTGGATTGGGACCGTTGATCCCACGTCGAATATGAACCATGTCGATACATACCTACAATAACAACATTTGGTACGAATCAATGTATTTTACTGTGGTTTCAGCCAATTCAACACACAAGTTTAATTTGTCACGCGTGTAATTACCTGGTCGCGATTTTGCGGGGATCGTCGACGAGAAGATAGGAATGGGTATCGAGATACGCGACGAAGAAGGTGAGAGAGATGTCGATAGCGAAGAAGCAGTTGACGATGTTGTCAATGATGAACAAGGCGTCCTCTTTGTAGGTCAAGAAAGCAAACTCAAAGGGAGATATCCAGGCTGAGTATATGACCAGAAACACCAGGAACACCTCCCATGCCCTGAGTTAATAATATACATATCATCATGTGTTGGTATTAACTATTTGGGAATATAATACTCCGTAATTAAGTCATACTTCCTCTTAAACATCTTCCCTTATTGACTTTTAAAAGATTTAAAAGACGTATATTTTTATATTGGCTTTCCAAAAATACCTCTGATGTGATGGGTAAAAGTAAGATGTGATGCGTAAATTATTAGTAAAAAGGTATGATGTGATAGGTAGGGTATGAAAAAGTAACGGTTAAAAGTAGTTTTTTAATAGATAAGGAAACATCTTTTGGGGACAACAAAAAAATGAAAAGGGAAGATCTTTTAGGGACGGATCAAGTATTTTGACATAAAAGATTGTTCTATTTTGGTATACCATATTTGTTCTAGATATAGTTAGTTGTTCTGAATTATTTTAATTAGAGTTTATTTTAATATTCCCCCGTTCTCAAAAACACTTCCTCTTTCATTTTTTTCACTTCCAACAAAACACTTCCACTTTCTATTAAAAAACCACTTTTACCCTTACTTTTTCATACCCCACCTATCACATCATACTTTTTCTCTAATAATCTACTCATCACATCTTACTTTTACCCATCACATCAAGAGTAAAATTGGAAGTCAACTACAATTTAACACTTCCTTATTTTCCCACTTTTTTAAAGTAGGAACTCTTTTTGAGAACGGAAGGAGTATTATGTACCATTTTTTAAATAAATTAAATTAAAAATTAACTCAGTCAATCATGGTTATTTGTACTTCTTGAATATAAATGACACCAAAAGAAACTTTATTATAGAGGGAGATGGAATATAAATGACACGAAAAGAAACTTTATTTTAGCCACTAGTACTTTTTCATTTCTTATGCAACCATTGATTGAGCCCATGCAGACCATTCCCCACACCTTTAATTTATTGGTTATATGGTTTCGTCCCAAAAGGGTGATTTATAAATATCAGTATATCACTACCAAAAGAAGGGTGATATTATCATTAAAATTTGTTCAGATGAGAGATTTTTTTGAGCAAATGTTAATTTTTTAAATATAAATAAAATTTGTAGAAAATAATTTTTAAAATATAAAATTGAGAGTAATTTGTTTTGAAACTAAGGGAGTATAAATTCATGCAAAAAGAAAAAATAAGAGGTGATAATAATATTTCATTTTATCTAAAAACTCAATGAAAACATGCATTTAAATAAACAAAAGTTATTAATAAACTATAATAGTAAAGAGATAAATCATTTTAGAATGGAGAAAATATTTCTTTAGAAGGGAGAGGACTGTTAGTAGCCTTATATTCATTACCAAAATAAGAATAAAGTAAGTATAAATGGTTAGCATTTGTTTATAAGAGAGATGAAGGGGGCTAAAGACCTTGTGATCCTGCGACATGATGGTGACTCTCTCATATGAGAGGCCATAGGTTCGATTCCTAGTGATGGTAATAACTCTACGTGCTTAATGGTTGAGAATGTATAAACAATATTATAATAGAGTTATTAGTCTTCAGAAAAAAAGGTAAATGGGAAACTTGGACGAGTATATATTAGACGAATTAATTAATCAGTTCGATAAAATATATTATTACTCTGTATCTTCCTGAATAATTGTCTAATTTTGACTTTTTCCAATCAAAATTAATAAAGTTTGACCATTAATTTAATAAGATTGATATTAAGAAGGTATTGATATAAAAATAATTTAACTATATTTGTTTTATAAAATATTTTCAAAATAATAGTTTTTTTAATTTATAAATTATTCTTTTTTATATAATTATAGGTCAAAAGTGAAAAGTGAATTTCTAGTGCCCTTATTTTGGTACAAAATTAACCGTCCTTAAATTTCTTTTCAATTTTTTAGTACTTCATTTTAAAACAATGAATGAAAAGAAAGGTGATGTGATGTCACCTGTACCGGGGATCGAAGGGAGAGACAATGTATTTCCTAAGCTCTGCAGATTGATTGATTCTCGCTCCGAGTGAAGGGAGGAGATCCTCGCGGGAGAAGAACCCGTTCCGGGCCCCGGATTCCCCTCCGAACTCCCCTGCACAACAGAACCCGGAGAAGCAATTTCTTCCGGCATCCGGAAACACCATTATTGTTTTTTATTGCTTCTCCTCCGGTTCTGAGGGCAGGGCTCAAGTACACATATACCTTGGCGTCTTCTTCCACATAGCTCTTATATATATATATATATATAGAGGGGGGAAAAGGGAAGGTGGCATGTAATAATTAGTAGTAGAAGCATGTGACCCACCCACGGGTAAAGTCTCCCCCACCCCCACCCCCACCCCTCCTTTTTTTCTTTCTTGTGATTTGTGTTGCACAAAATAAAAAAAATTAACCTAGGGATACACACGTACCACATTTGTACACCCAAGCTAACACAAATGAATAGAAACACAAAATGTCTGTATTGTACAGAAATTTTGTGTCTGTGTTAGTCTGTTATACAAATGGGGTATCCCATGTTGGTGTACCCTTAACATTGCCCAAATAAAAAATATTGTGTGAGCGTCATTTATTATATATATATATAACGCTTACAAAACTAGTTTCTTTATGAACACAATGTACAAATAATACAGCGGGAATTAAAAAAAATTCGAACTTATAACACGTTCGGATTTTACAACGAAAAAAAGTAGAAGAAGTCGCCAGTGATCGGAAAAACGAACGGAGAAGGAAGGAAAGCAGAGTCGCCGGAGCTTTCCCTAAGGTAATATCGTCCACCTCCCGCACTGACAACAACGTGGACGATCTCATCCCAGGATAAAACCGATAACGCACAAGATCTAAAGCGGTAGAACCTTGTGCCGATGAACGAGAACGATGGAAAGATATTTACCGGAATACTGATTGGAAAGAAACAAGAGAGTGTTGGACGCAAAGAGCCTTTTCTAGTGTTGGTGATGATCCCTGAAGCAAGGGACGAACTAGACTGATGGATATTACGAGGAGTCAAGTGACTCTTCGTAAGTGCATGCATGCTAATTACTCCGTCACTTCGTTATTGACGATTTAATACTTCGTTTTTAACGAAGCCAACACATGTTCGATTCGGTCTCGTAAAAAGATAAGGGTTCGGCCCACGCCCTCGCCACGTCACAACGCGTTCCACGCCAACACGCGTGCATGTCGTGCCGAGCCGGACAAACGGCGGCGGCAATGCGTGAGGGCTCTCTTGGTTCTCCCTCCATAAATTGCTTTTACAATATTGTTAAAGACTAGCATATAAATGGAGGAAGTTGAAGGGTTTCAAATCTGATGTGAGATACGTGGGTTTTTCCCCTTCCAGGTGAACGACTTTGTGAATTGATTTCTCATTGACCCGAGCACTAATTTTAGCGCACAATATATCGAAATACTTGTTTCACTTGAAATAATATATGTCCATAATTATTTTGAAAAAATAATTTTGTGGACCATACCGAATTTACGTTCAAAGGTGTCCCGTTATGAGTCAAAATTTCAACATATATACAAAAACACCATAAAATGAAACCATTAAAAAAATGGTGAGGAACAAAGGAGTGGGAGACAGACATTGCATTGCAGGGAGAGGTTATTTGAAGGAAGAGAGAAGGAGCAAACAATGGTGGAAGTTCCATTATCAAATGGGCGGACAATTATCAACAAGATATAAATTAAGCAGTAAAATGTTAGTCTCAGGAACAATTAAGGATGAAAATTTGTTTTGTGACAATAATTTAAAGAAAAAAGATCAAAATACCAGTTAAATATTAAAAATATACCAAAATAGGAGTTTCATATTTTTATCTTCAAAATAAGAGTTAAATTAAATTTACAATGTCAATCATTACCATATATATTACCAAAAAGTAATATAAAATATCCATATACAGTGTCACATTACCACAATGCAAATTCCAATCTTGGAGATAAAAAACAGCCTTATTTCAATATTTTCTCTAAAATACTTTTCTATAATTTACACATATTTAGATGATTTTTATCGTTATTATCAGAAGTTAAATTCAGGTAGAGAAGAGGTAATCTTACACCAAATCAATTGAAACACTTACGGTGCTCCAATCGTAAAATTGATTGTTCCAACTTCCTAACCTCTCTCCTTCTGGTAAACCCTCCTAGCCCGCCCCGTCCCCAACGCACGCCTGGAACCCCGCCAATTTTTTTACATCAAAATTGAGTTAGAAATGTGACCCAAAAGTCAACAAATTTTAGTGCAACGAAATTGGCTAGGGACATTGAGGACTGGGCAGTCTAGGGGTTATGCCGGGGGTTAGGGGTATGAATAATCAAGTTTACGATCAGAGAACCGTAGATACTTTAATTGAATTAATTTAACAATCTTACACTAATTGCGTTGGTGTAAAATTACTCCTTATTCAAGGTATTATCTCACTTTCAAACTATATTTGTATAGTGAGAGGAAGAATGGAGGAGGGTAATTTGGTTTTAAGAGTTCTAAATTTAGTTGAGACAGAAAAAAGCAGGATAACACGGGTTGTTTCCTAGGGAAAAAAACAGGAGTACCTAAAAAGGACACATAGGGGGGTTTCTTGTACTTGATTCAAATTGCACATTTTGATTTTTATTGGAGTCTCCAATAATTGATTTCTGTTGAATAATTCAAAAAAAACGAAAAACAAAATTTTAATTCAAATTGATGGGACATGAGAACGTAATTTAGAGTTTTTTTTAAGTGATACTCCGTATTCCTTTAGGTAGTGTTTGGCAACTAGGATTTCATTTCAATTCATGTATTTCAATTCTAAAATTTGAAATCTTGAATTTCAAATGACAAGGAGAGGTGTATGGATTTAAAATTAAGCTTTGTTATGAATGAGAAGAATTTGATTCAAATCCAAATTCCAAATTTGTAAGTTTCCCAAACATGGAATTTGAGTCAAATCCGGATTTGAAATCCAAATCCATGTTCCCAAACATACCATTAGTTCAATTCATTCAATCTTTTGAAATTTATTCAAGTTCATCAAATTTTAGTCAAATTTCAGTAAAAAACAAACGAATTTTATTTGAATTTCTTGACTAACTCATTAAAAGGAAGATAAGAAAATAACCTAAATAGAATTAAAACATTGTGAATATATTAAAATAGAAGTTCCATACATATTTTTATCCTCAACACAGAGGTTTGTATTGTGATAATGTAATATTGTATATAGACATTTGAAAATACATTTTGATATTATGTATTGAAATGATTGACATTGTATTTACATTTTAACTCTTTTTTTGAAAATAAAAATAAAGAACTCTTATTTTAGTACAATTTTAATATGTTTTTCATAATTTATGGTAAAATTTTAAAACGGTGACTACTAGAACATGTTTGAAAAAAACATAGGTAAAGAATGTTTCTTGATCAAACTTTGACATAGGTAAAGAATATTTCAAAATCACAAAGTAAATAATAAATTTATTAATGTAATATTATAATAACTACTTTAACTCCATAATTGTTATAGTGCATCCCACATCGGAAGTTTAATTCAAGAATAAAATAATACGGTATATAAGCTCTTGAGTTAATCGATTGGATTCAATCTTTTAATGTAGTTCAGCCCAGTGTCTTATTACCCAATCTAGTTATCCACACCTCATTCTAAATTCTATCATGGTATCGGAGCAGGTTTTGGCTCACCTCGTTTGTCAAGGTGTCCGTCTATACGTTCATTTATAGCGGCCCCGTTAGTCTTTAGTACAGTTGTTCGTATGGAGTATGTATCTAACGGCCTGTGGCCTGTTTAACAAGATTGCTCGTCTGGAAGTCCATACACAGCGGCTCGTGATCCTTTAAATGTTGGCGCTCAAAAAAATAATTAAGGGAATGTGAGTTCATTTGCAAGTGGTCAACCGGTTAGATTCAAAATGGTCTGGTTGTCCACTTGAGGGGGAGTGTTAGAGTGCATCCCACATCGGAAGTCAAAGAGTAAAATAATCCGGTATATAAACTCTTGAGTTAAACTAACTAATCGATTGGATTCAATCATTTAATGTGGTTCAGCCCAAGTGTTTTATTGTCCAATCTAGTTATCTATACCCCATCATAAATTCTATCAATAATGATAATTGAAATATATTTTGAAAAGGGAAGAAAGACCAAACTAGGACTAAAACATTGAAAATATACCAAAATAGGACTTCCATGTTTTTATTCCCAAAATAGGACTTACATTACCAAACATGGTCATATACATTACCAAAAGAGTATAGTAATTTGCACAGGTACATTGTCGCATTACCACAGTGCAAAGTCCTTTTCCAGAAAAAAAACATAAAAGTCCTATTTTGATACTTTTCTCTATGTTTTAGTCCTATTTAGGATGATTTATATTGAAAAAGAAAGAAACTTTTTAAGAAACCATGATATTACATCAACTTTTTATATTATATTGAGATAAATAGATGATGGTGATATTATTATTATTATTATTATTATTATTATGAAAAATATAACTTAATTTTTTTTGAAATGATCATCGGAAAAAATTGAAAAAATAAAAAAAGAGAGCTTAAAGCAAGCTTTTAATTTTAAAATATAGTCCGTCTTTAACTAGTTTTCACTTCGTATTATTTCTTTTTGGTACAGTATTACTCCGTACATTTTCTTTTTGGTAAATAACATTATTCCGTATTTAACTAGTTTTGACTCGACACATAATTTAAAAAAATGAAAATGATATGAAACAGATTCCACAAAATAAATCATCAAACAAAATATTCTCATTTATCAAGTCCAAACTAAAAAATAATAAAGAATAAAATATTCTGCCAACTCACCACTCCCGTCTTCGTCTCATACACCGAGTACAATAAGCAAAATATGGTTCCTCACTGTTTTTTATCACAAAAAAAATTAAGTATTTTGAAAATGGCCTTTAATCATAATTAATATTTCTAATTAGTCATGATGACACATCTATTTATACTCAACATCTTAGTTTTATATTTCTAGTTACATCCGAAACAAATTTCAAACTCTAAATTATATACTTACTCATGTTACATCTAAAAATCCCAAATTTATTAGGATCATAATATAATATAATTTGATATTGATATAAAAATAATTTTAATAGATTTATTTTATAAAATAGTTTCAAAATATTATTTTAA